AACTATCCCATTGTAGAAACAATTGCATGCCCACCTGACCATGTGAACAATGATCTCTGAATGAGGTTTTGTTTTGTAAAAAAAAAGAAATACAAACAGTGCTTTTTTCTTTGGAGGCAGTTTCTGTATGAAGGAAAGGGAAATACTGGATTCTGGCTGTTCTGAATGTGTGAATACAAATTCTGATAAGAGTCAAGAGTACAGCTTACTTATGCAAGCCCAGGGTGTTGAAGCATGAGATGAGAAATGTATGTGGATAGACTGTTTCTAGTAGGACACTCTGACAGCAGTGATCAAGCTTATATTTGACTTTAATATATTAGGCCAAATCCGAAACTTATGCTCCAGGCAAATGCTTTTTTTCCTGTAAAACAATAAGAAAAAAGAAAAGTGTCTTCGTTTGCATGTCACATTTGAACATACTTTCAAAAGGGAACAAGGGAATCTGACAGACTGACTAAAACTAGATGCAAATGTCATGACCTTTTAAAACAAGCTGTATGCATTTAAAAATACAAATTCAATTATATTCTTAAGAAACAATAAAATGGACTCTGTCCATGGGATGTGTGATCCAAAAGAGCATGCTGAAGTGCATTTAGCTTTTCTTCTGGCTTGTTTTTTCCATTTATAGCCTACCTTTTTTACCTTACTTGAAACGCTATGTAATACCTTAAGCTTAGTTTACTTCTCAATTTTAGTGATAACAGCGGAACATCTACAGTTTCAAATATATTCCACTTTGACCCTTGCAGGCAAAATATAGCTCCAGCTTATACTTAATGCTAAAATATGGTTAGCGCTACAGGAAGACTAATCAGGCTTGTCCTGCAATGCATGTGCAAGGAGATTACAATTCTCTGCCACAGATTTAGGACTAAGTGTTGTCCCCCTTGATTTTTAAACTTGCAGAAATGTGGCTTGTTCTACATCTTGTTCAAAGCCAGAATCAATAAAATCATTTAACATCCTGGTTTGCTAATGTAACAATAGTTTGAACAAACTTCAGATGCCACATGTGTAATTTGTTCAAACTACATCTCAAATGCAGATGTCACAAGAAATTGTTACTAGGTCTCAAGAAGAACCTTTTGATGATGGAGAGAAGTGCAACATATAATTCTGAGCTTCATGTTTGATCATGCTCATATTATTAAACTAAGGTTGTTCCTTTGCACTTGAACTGGGCTTAGGATGCAATCCAAAAGGCATCATTAAGCTTGCAGAAGATTGTTTGCTTTTCTTTGTAATTGCTGTTCTCACATTTTGGAAGGGATGTAGTTTGTGCTTAGGTAGTTTGGAAAGAAGAATGAATGAAAAGTTAATGGTGAACTCTGTAGTATGGTATTCTAGCCTGAGTGTTCTGCAGCCCAAAATGAGGAAGTCAAAGGGTTCTACCTCCAGTGACTACTTGAGTGGCCCAGTAGCATCAGTTCTGAAAGTGAGGTTCTACTGAGAGCAACTTGGACTAAAACTGCTGAAAAACTGCTGTCCATCCATAAATTTTGGTAGAGATAGGTCATAACATTTTGACAATAAAAAAATAGGTACACCAAGATCTGATTTATATAGATATACTGGGGACTGCAGGTGGCACAGTGGTTTAAACCGCTGCGCTGCTGGGCTGGTTGATCGAAAGGTTGCTGGTTCAAATCTACACAACGGGGTGAGTTCCCGTTGCTCTGTCCAAGCTCCTGCCAACCTTGCAGTTTGAAAGCATGCAAATGCAAGTAGATAAAAAGGTACCATTTCGGTGGGCAGGTAACAGCGTTCTGTGCACTTTGGTGTTTAGTCATGCCGGCCACATGACCACGGAGACTGTCTGCGGACAAACGCTGGCTCCCTTGGCTGGGAAACGAGATGAGCACCGCCCCCTAGAGTCAGGCATGACTGGACATAACGTCAAGGGGGAACCTTTACCTTTACTCTTAGGGGAACCTGTCTTTTTTGAATGCATGCTTTGGTGGTGATATCACATGCCACATTTAGCCACTGAAACGTGTACTTAGGAAAGATCAGGATTACTTGTGTAAACCCAAAAAAGAAAACTATTCTGTGAATAATGTATTCTGGGGCCATGTAAATCTTTTCCTTTGATTTGTGGAGTTGGAAAATATGCTGTCACAGTCCTAGAAATTGCTGCTGACAATACCTGTGGTTACTCTGTTCATGAATTATGTTTATACACATAAGTGCACAGCTGGAGAAGATTGGGCCTGCTCATGAGGGCTTTGAAATGAGATTTATGGTAACTAGGTTTTATGAAAGAATCATTGTAAAAATTTCACTGTTTTTGTTTTCACTGTTCTTACTCCCAGGTAAGTGCATATAGAATTGTTGGCTTGCTCCCTGGCAAAATGTACGTAGAGTTGCATTCAAAAAGACTCTTTAAAACTAGATTTGGAAAACATTTTTTATTGTGTGCACTTCTACAATTTGAAACCTAGAAAGGCATGACAATTGGCAACTAAGCTAAGTTGACTTGAAAGTTTTGAATCTCATCCAGTGGGTTGTTGGATGATGTTTGCAGCTCATTCTTTGTCACAGTGGTTAAGGAACTGTGTCAGTGAAAGGGTTCCCTGTAAATAACTAGGTTACTAGGCTATTGGGGAAAGTCCTATATTAATTAGGTATGTTGACTGAAAGAAAGTTTTACAGCACTGTTGCTGGGCATCAGGAGCTATGATGGGTATCAGGAGATGAAATAAGAGAGGAAGGTAGAAGTTGGAACTGGAGACCAAGTCAGGGTCAATAAATTATAAGTCAATACTGAAAAACAATCACACCAAAGATCATAAGAACATAAGAAGAGCCATGCTGGACCTCCAGCACTCTGTATATATGGTGGCATACCAGCTGCCTACAGGATCCCTCAACCAGGATGGGTATGAGACCTCCTCCTGCCCAAGCTCCTCACCAACTGGTGTGAGAAGGCATGCTGACTCTTGTAAAAGAGGTAACACATGGCCAGCAAGGCTACTAGCCACTGATAGCCTCTTCCTTCTCCATGGCTCTGTGCATCCCCTTTTAAATTGGTAACCATCAACACTTCCATGGTTGTGAATTCCATAATTTACACTATAAATAGAGTGAAGAAGTATTTCCTGCTATCTGTTCTAAACCTTATGAAAAAATTAACTGGAGTAGAAAGTACTTTTATGTGATTCCCTATCCGTGAGGGTCCAGTGGCCAGCCTGGGTGGGCAAGGTTAGTCCACAGCCTGAAAGTAAGTAACAGTCATATAACATATATCAGGTTTCTTTACAGACTGGTAGTTGGACCTTCCCCTCATTGGGTGTGAGGACGGAAGAGTCCAAAAGAGTTTTTGTACTTCTCCAAATTTGGGTTCCCTCAAGTGCTGTTATATACAGATATCATATCATGTTTAGAAACACCATTCAAGAGTGGCAAAGAAACAGTCAGGATATAGCCATGACTGGAGCAGGCATTGATAGTTGTGCCAAGGCTGGGGTAATTTTAGCTCCTTCCATACCCGGTGATCAGTTCTTTTCTCACCAGAATGAATGGGTACCATTCACTGATACATTGAGAAAAAGTATAAGGTGTTACTTTGGAATAATGTTGCCTATATTTCCTCAAGCTTCCAATATCTGCTTTTGGTCTGTAGCTTAAATTGTTATCAAAAGCAGACAATGGACTATTTGTGCTTTAGGGTGCTTAAAGTAATGTATTAAGGAAAATGGGTTTCATTTTTTCCCTTTAAAAATAACATAATTGTCAAGATAATCAAGTTTGTGGTTAATTTTTGGAAGTAATATTTGAAACCCTAGCTGAAGTTGTGCTTATATTTCTGTTGCACATGGTTTTTTTGCATGACATCAAATGCAGCTAAATGCCAAGAAGCATAAATGTTCCCAGTGACAGCTTTAAAGTATGATGTGCAATTGTTTACTGCAGTCGAGCATTTACAGCATCGTTGCGTTTTATTTTCCTAGATCTATGGGTTGGCCTTTTATGTATTTCTTGCGTGCTGAGGCAAGCTTTGTATTAAGATTAGGTGTTCTTGCAAATGTGCCCTCCAGCCTTTGCTTTGCTTTGGTCTTTGGATAAATGATTATTGAGTAGTATTTGAACTCGGACCATAGCAAAGTCTGTTAAGGAAATTCAAAATGCCCTCCACCAATATCAATGCAAAACATTTTTCTGAGGTGGTTTTATGAAACAGCCACAAGGTATAAAGATACTTAAAAATTATTCTTATTAAGTATAGGTCCAGTATTCAACAGTTTTCTTGTGGATAAGGCAACTTTTTCTTCCCCAGTGGAAGAAAAATTCAGTAAAAATTATTTTACATAGTACGTTTTTACTAATGTGTATCAATTTTGCCCTTAGGTCAGTTGTTTTCTTAAATGTTTTTACCTTTAGTCATTTTTTTGTACAGACCTGTTTGCTAAGGAATCTGCTGCATGTGGAGAAGATTGTAGGGAATGTTCTAGAACATCCACAGTTATTGCAGGGCTCTTTCTGGCTTGTTTGTCCTCTTCTTCACTTGGGGTTAACTGAGTATATGCTGTGGGTAGGCCAGGATCTTTTGGTACATCTTTTGCTGATTTACATTATAATCAGGAGAGATGTCAGACTTCCAACAGTTTTAACAATAGCAGCAAGAAAATGACTCTTCCTACCTTAAATTATACAGCTGAAATGAAGAAAGTATATTACTGTGTAGGACTGTAAGGCCCAGCCAACATGGCTACTTGTCAGGAGTGTTGGGAGCTCTAGTGCAAAACATGCAGAGGGTACCAGGTTCTGCTCCTGGAAAATACATTTATGACATATGTATTCCCTATAAAGTAGAAATTTTTGCACATTGAATGTTGACATTCACTTTCCAGTTTAGTCTTATTGATACGTGATGAGGCAGACTCAGCCTATCAATGCAAGATCCGCAAATCATTGTAAAATTTGACATTTCATGGTGTTAATAACCATTTTATTTAACATCATGATTAACTTACTTTTCCCTTTTTAAATCATAGATGACACATATTTGGAGCAGCAGAATATTTCCTCTCTTTTGCCGAGTCAGTACACTGTGGACAGCGTGACACAGAAGGCCTTAACACAAAGCGCAATGGACCTCACGGCAACTCATGTGTATCCCGAGAGCTTGTCATCACCTGTTACCAATCCTTCTGAGATGACCTCATTGGACCAAGAAGGATCAAGCAGAGTCTCAATAGGACAAAACATACCCACATTGGTTATTTCAGTAATAAGCAACGAGGCAGTCTTGAGTGATGATAGATTTATGAGCTCATTTCCTAATGCACAACAGACTCCTTCATTAAAGTCTTTTACAGAGGACTATCATTTGGGTTCCTTTCCAGTGAAGCCAACAAAAGAAACATTACAGACTGTATCGTTAGCTCCTTCATTACCCGCTCTCTCCTCACCACTTGAAATGCTGCAAACGACATTGCAAAGGGCTGTCTCTGTTCCTCTCCCATATTTGAAGCCTTTTGATGTGATAGGTGTAACTCTGACTCCAAGCAGAGACCTGCTCATGCCCCTGACTTACTTAACATCTGTTGTGTCTGAGGTGGTGGATGCAACAGCTGGAAAAGGAAGGGAGAATTCACCGTTCCATGCACTGTTTTCAACATCTGTGCTTTTTGATACTACTGTGGAAGAGTCACCCGTGTTTACGAAACAGCTGAATGAGGATATGCAAATTATGACAGACATTTTAACAAATACTGATACATACACTGAACCCCACTATAGTATTAATAGTAGCATAGCAGGAACTCTCAGCCTGGAAAGCTTTTCTGTTCTGAGCATTTTTGAGGAAATTCCTGTTTTGTTAACCAACACAGGGACAGCTGTGTTTTCGACTCATCTTCCTTTTGTTGTTCCCTCCACTCCCTCAGCTACATTTATGACTGCCTCTGGTAGTCTTTTTAATGAAGAATTGTTTACACATGAGTTTTCTCATAAATTCTCCAGAAGTACAGGATCAATTTTGCACGAAAGTTCAAAAATACCAACTCAAGTTGAGTTCTTCCGTGACTCCATGAGCCCAGTGCCTTTCACTAGACCATATGCTTCATGTTCATACTGTGACTTCTCCTCAGCTTCCTCAGAGCCAGTGTTTTCATTGCAGCCATCAGAAAATGAGGTGGGCTCGGGTGATTACATCGACACACTATCATTTGTGGCCACTGAAGTAAAAGGTGTTAGTCCACTTACATCAGTAGTTAATGAGCTCTATGATATGCAGGAGTCTCCTCCTGAAGTCTTTGATACTACCTTCCCCTCTAGACTTGTTGTTTCCTTCTCTTCAAGGTTTACAGAAGACTCCAAGTCAAATGCTGTGGAAATCAGCCTTAAAAACACAATATTTACACCAGTTTTCTCTTCTTATGAACAGTCTTCTGAGGTGATACCATTAGAACACAGTTACCTCTACTCTGTGACTGAAATGGCTGCATCGATGTCTAGCATTATGGAAGAACCACAATCTGATGTTGCCACAGCTTCCTCTGAGTTTGTCTTCGTAGGAAATGTGAGCACACCATACATGACAATCAGAAATTCAGGTCTGCTGGAAACACCTGAATATATATCCTCAGAATCTACATATATCCTTGGTAAAACCCTTGAGGGATTCCCCACACAAGAATATGCTGTAACTAGATCAGACATTCCATCCAGCCTTTCATTAACCCCCTTTCCCTCTGAGCCAAATGTTTTGTCCCATTTATCATCTGATAAAACCACATCTTTCTTGATATTGCCAAGTGATTTATCAACATTTTTACCTCATGTTTCACCCACATTCCTTCTGCCATCTGTGCTTTTCGACAATTCTTCTACCTGGGGTTCAGCGGAGCGCCCAGATGTTGACATCACAAGCATTGAGGCTTCTCAGTTGTCTTCATGGCAAACTTCATTTTTCAATTTGAATTCATCTTCTTTTCCAGTCGCACATAGTTCTACCACAGTGCCATCATCAAATTTCTATATGAACTCTTCTGTATACCTGGAACCAACATCAATCTTAACAATGACATCTGAATTTTATTTTACCTCAGCTTTCACAGAAGCTACCTCTCAGTTTGAATCATCATCCTTAGGCATTGGTGCAAGTATCCCTACACAGGTTCTCCCCACTAGTGTTTTAGAAACAGTTTTCACCAGCAATAGCTTAGGGGATGAAACACATGTGACTTCATGGTTCAGCTCCTTGCAGCGAACACCCAACTTACCATCTTCAACCCTTTTCTCAACTACTACTGTTGAGGAGACTGTTGCTACTGCGAAACACAGTTTGGTTTCCTCCTACGAGGCAGCTCCTAGCACATTTTTTTTAACAGCCACCTCCTCTATGCCACCATTGGCCACAGAACTGAGTAGTATAAAAGTTTCCCATACTGAATTGGTGGATACCTTGTCATCCTATGTCCCTACAATAAAGCCATCATCTGTGAATACTTCAAATGTATCTGGCATTCCAACAAGAGCTAATATAACTGAGTTTACCAGCATGACAATCTCTACTACCACCACTTCCAGTAATAAAATAGGCCTTTCTACAACTACCAGCAGTACACCAAGTTCTTCTGCATCTACTGTGACTTCTGTATCGGTCACTACTCCACAAGTTACAATGGCAACAGTTCCAACAACTACAACTAGACAGCCCTATGTTTGCGACATCACAGTCCCTGACAAATATCTAGTGACAGCTGGTAAGACTTTTTTCTTATTTATTCTCATGCTTGTGTACAGTGGTACAAAAGGAAAATGTTAAAGGGTCCTGATTAGTTAGGGGCAATTTCTCCCAAAGCCCTAAGGGCGCTATTTGTTATTTCTTTAAAATATTTGTAGTGCTTAACCTTAGTTGAATTCTCTAGCCATTCAAGTTTAGAATGGGAATGACACAAGTAGTTTGAAAGTAGCGCAGGAAGAAATTCCATTTTGGAGACACTCTTCAGAGCTGGAAGCAGTTCTGGATCCCTGCCTTGAGGAGAAGACAGCAGTCGGAGGAGACAACACTGGGTTTGAGCAGATGGTTCGGCTCAGTATAAGACAGATTGTTAACTTGTTTCTCCCTCTATCTGGGCTTCTTGGTTATAGAACTGTAACTGTATGTTTTAAGCACACCAGCATCACCTCATTAAATGAGCTGGAAACACGATGACATCTTATACTGCTCCTCAGGTGTCCTCTGAGTTTAGGGGAACGATTTTTCTTCTGCATAGTTGGTTGTATGGTCTACCATGCACCATATTTTGATGTCCCAAGTCTTATTTTACATTTTGTACAAAAGTACATACCTCTTGTTGAAATCTAAAAGTATGTGTATTTTGTACATCATTTTGAGATACTTGGAAGCCAGGAACAAGAAATAACCAGGCTTTAACCAAGAGTATTTCACACCCTTAAGTGCACAGCCTTCAAACTTGAACAGAGGTACATTCCTTTTGTACTTGGGTATCTGCGTCTAACTGCAAAATGTAAAGTGAGAATTGTTGTCACATCACTTACATTTCCCTGTGGTTCTCTAACTCTTTTCTCCTATTGCCAGTTAAGGATTTTCTCTCAGCTCTCTTGCAATTCAGCTGTTTTAAATTGCTGTATTTAGATCTGTGAGTGAATGATTTAAACTAAAGCTTGTTCATTTATTCAAACTTCCAGTGTTAGCCAGGAAATCTGTATTAGAAAATGTAAGTGAATCCATCAAAGGAATCCTGAGAACTGAATTTAGAAGACTGGTAGAACTAGAGGTAAGTGAAGCACAATCTGCATTATGACTACTACTGTTACATAATAATTTGATTCATTATGTAGATTGGAGGCATCTTCACTGAGATTCTTGAGAGAGAGAGGTGTTTCTCACTTGCATGTATTCCCTTTTTAATACACATCTGAAATTCCATCTGACCTCCATTTAACTATCTTGCTATGTTTCCAATGTAAAATTGCAGTTTGTGATTTATTGGCCCAATGGGCAGTATGCCCTGTCCTTGTTAACTCATCCAGTGAGTCTCCGAATAAGGCCTTAAATCCATCTCTCTCCCTGCTGCCCACCTCAGCCAACAATAGTATTAGCATAACTTAGGAAAGATCATTATGCAGCTCTACATTACATGTTACAACTCTCAACCACCACTTCAGAATTGCGTTGCTTTCATGTCAGAGATTTGTTGCAGTGGAATCACAATGATTAATGCAAGGAGAAAATACAAAATGGTATCTAACATTTGTGGCATGGGGCAGTATTTTGTCCTGCCGTTTGCCAGTGGAGCCCATCCCTAGTATGATGGGAAGCTAGCACTTTCTAAAGGAGCCAGAAAAAAGCCGGAGCACTAGTTTCTGGAATGGAACCGGTCAGCGGGATTAGTGAAGGGAGGTTGAATGATCTGTCCCATTCTAGAAATGAGCATTCCAGGTCATTTCTGAGATTGTTCTAGGAACTGTCGGACTGTTGTGCCAGTGGGGTCTCTTGCTGGTTTAACATACTCAACGGAGGTGCAGCCAGCAGCATTGGATGCTGCCCAGATGAACGGATTCTTGCTATAGAATAGCTAAATATGTCACTAATGCTGATAAGTAAACTTGAACAAATTATTTTTTATATCCTTGCTTTTCTACACCATTTGCTTAGACAGAGATATCTCTTCATTTACATTTCAGTTCTCTTCACTATTAAAGTTGAGCTTCAGGCAATTACATTTCTGCTTCTTTTTATCAATAATGCACATATCCTTCTAAGCCTGGATGTATCCTTTGGCAATATTTTTTCATAAGGCAAAGAAGATAGATTTCTATGCAGTCGCTCCTGCTTGGGTTTTGATGGAATGGTGTCACTCCTTGCTTGTTTCATCTTGGACTGAGAGCACCTTCCTTTCCTAGTGTTTTATATCTAAAGCATTCTCGGCTCCCTCATGAAAGAAATTCAGGTCTCAGAATGGAATACTGCCAAGGTTGCTATGCTCTGAAATTAACCACTGTGCAGTTTAATAACCTACACTAATGAATTGTTGTTGGATATCTTGGAAATGCATTCCCTAGTGTGAAACGTTTCACTGCAAACAAGCTTGACATACAGTTAAATTCCACACCAAAAACTGGTTTACATACAGTGAAGGTAAACAGTGTGTGTTGTATGGTTTGTTTCCCCTTTTGCATCTGGAATTACTTCTCACAGCTGTCTCATTTTTATGATGTGTTGTGCAGGAGGTAGTTCTTTTAAATGCAGCAGCGTGGCAAAGTACACCTCAGCAAATTGAACTATGTGGTTGCAATTTAACATTAATGGCTCAGCATCAATGTGAGAGGTACAAATTATGTAAGGTGATCCTTTTTTGTTGGAAAGTCTGGTGGTGAAAGGAGGGGCAAGCTTTGGAGGTTTCGTTATGAATATGCAAACATTTAGAGTGAGTGTGCAGAAACGGAGATGTCATCATAATGTTATACTCATTTTGTCAGTTGTCACTTGCTCCTAGAAATGTACTGCCATGGTTCCACCCAGGGAAATGTTGTATGTAGCTGTTTTTTTTATTTTATTAAGATGATGTTACCAGTGGAGTTTGGCAGTGCCAATGCTGGCAGGGCTGTATATTCCACTCCAGATTTTATTCTGAAAAATTGAGTACCACGGAGAGTTCCTTAAAAGTTTAGAATAGCTCATTTGGATATTAGGGCCATTATGCAACGTGGGGTCAGGCATGTCCATAGAATGCAGATAAGTAAAGTCACTGAATGTATACCCTTCATCAGTAATTACTTTCCTAATCTTTGAAACATTCTACTTAGCTTTCCGCTTAGGTTTTGGGTATTCATTTGTTTTGGGGTGGACTGATAAGGGAGTGAGGAAGTCTGAAGAATGCTTATTTGCAGCAACTCAGAAATACACTGCCAAATAGTGACTGTCTTTTCCTCCCCCCACTCCTTTTGCTTTGGTATACTTTGAAATAAATTCAATATTTAATTAGGGTTTTGGGAACTGTGAGGTTAAGTCTTTTCTGTGTAATTACTTTGAGCCAAAAGGTCAAACTTTTATTAGACTTCTTTATAAGGAGTCAGGAAGGTTGATCAGGAAACAAAAGGGTTGCAGAGGGCTCAAGTCAAAACTTTGCTTAGAAATGGGACCCAGGATAACAGCAGGAATAGGAGACAAAAAGAGTTTGGAAGAGGTTTACTAGCCAGTCAGGGGAAAAGCTTAGGAAAAAGTGAACAAGAAACAGGCCTCCTGATTGGTTAGACTTGAGCAGGGAATGTTAATGTATAAGAGGCAGATTAGAGGGCAAGATATACAGAAATTAAGAGAAAGAAGATCAGAAAGAGGTGAAGCTGCTGGAACTGGGGAATTGAAAGAGTGTTGTACAAAATAAAACAAGAGTGCTTAGATATTACTTGGACAAAATAGGGACAAGTCTAGTTAGGCTGTTTTATTTAGGCTGTTTTATTGCTTTTTTGTTCACGTTGTATGTGTGATACTCCTTCATAATTGATTTTTGTACTAATATTTTCTTTGGTAAAAATTAAAACATTCTTATTAGAATTCTTGTGGACTCTGCTTCTGGGTCTAATAGGCAGCCTCCACACTACCAAAAGGAGGTGCCTGAAACTCAAAGATGGGAAAAAACCTTTGTTGGAGGGAAACCTGGGATAGGGGAGAGTTGAGCTCACCATGTATCTTTTGCTCATGGAACAGGGTGATGCTACTCCGTGACAGCAAGTAAAAAATTAAAAGCATTCGCTTACATTTATGAAGCTTTTATAGAGCCTTCCTAATATCAAATGCTTTGTGTTTATTTTTGATGTGATAGTATGTATCTGGTGCATAAAGTGTATGTCAACTTCAGGACAATTAATTTGCACTTGGAACTTATTTAAGTATGCCTAGGATGAATTGTTTAAGGAATAGTTATATTAGCATTTTGGAGTTAGAAAGGAAGATTCTAGACTTCATGATTTCAGGGAAAAATACTGGTGTATCCTAAAGGCTGCATATAGTACCTAGGGTGACTCAGGGACTACATGCACCCCCACAGAAACAGTGCGGGTTGCTCACCCTGGCTTCGGATAAGCACATTTAAAAGCTAAAACTTTGTAATCTCATGAATGGTTAATGTGCTATTACAATTGTGGTGTCTGCTTTTATCTGGTATCACAGGCACCTTGGCTCATGGGAAGACTCAGCTGGGAGGAAGGTTTACTGCAGTAGCTAAACACTGCAGCCCTATATTATTAAGTTACACTTAGGTCCATTGAACTAAGTATAACAGAATTAGTTGTGACTTATGTCCCCTTCACTGTGGGGAGAGATAATTGCAACTAATTTAGTCTTGATCCAAGGCTGTATTATTATTATTATTAGCAGCAGTAGGAGCAGCAACAATAACAGCAGCAAAAATAATAATAAGAGTTTTATTTATGTACTGCCGAATAGGCAAGGCTATCTTGGCTTACAACACACAAAGCTATGCAAAATAGACAAAACCCCAACAACTCACAGGCTTCCTTTGTAGCCTCCCCTGTGCTGAACGCACACATACACAACCAGTGCAAAATAGATACACTTTCAAAACAACCTTTGTGCAGTGCAGAAAACCATGTTCCTTCTGGGGTGGTTTAAACTCGCATTTTCTGTTTGTTTGTCTTTGTAAATAGGTTTATAAGCTTTCTCCCAGATTCTCTTTTCTGGTGACCTCAGGTCCTTTTGTTTACACGGCAATTGCTGTCATCAATGCTCTTGTGAACAGCAGCCTTTTTCGTGCTCAGATACCTCTCATCTCATCACTGCAGCCTTCTCTCCCTGCTCCAGATCGCCAGTTCCAGGTGCAGACTGGTAAGTTAAACGAAATCAGCTTTGCATAGTTTGATTGTTATGAGAAGGAAGTGTTCTTAATGGTGAACATTCTTGATTGATTGATGGACTGATTAATTGAGTGATTTAGAGAGCACTGAATTGTAGGGTGTCTCAGCATGCATTGTGGAATGCACTGGACTACCTGCTCTTCCTGACTTTTATTTCTTAAGATTAATTTTTATCATTTAAAATTTAATTGGGAGGCTATGATCTTGAAAGCTGAAGTGCTGTCTTTATATAGATTCAGAAGAGGATTTTGTGCAAGTCCATTTTCTTTTATTTGGGGAAATAAGTGTGTGTGGCTAGCCATGCCCATCATGGCAATCGGTTTATGAATGGGCAGCAGCCTCCATGGAAGCCTTTTTGGGGCAACACTCTCCAACTTCCAGATATGTCCACCAAATTATTATTAATAATACTATTAATGACACAGTCAAGTTGTTTAAACGGCCGATTCATGGAACAACAATGCAGAGAATGAATGGCTCCTTTTTTCTCTCTTAATGCAAGCAGGATTTTCAGTGGGTTGATGCTGTGTGTGGTGCTCATGCAACTCTTTTCCAGTATTGCAAGAGTTCTGCGGGGTGGGGCTGTGCTACCTAAACCAGGGGTCTCCAAGCTTTTTCAGGCCACTGCCCCCTTTGCTCTTAGATGGCAACCTTAGTGCCCTTTTTCTTTATTTTAGGGTTTTTGCTTTCCTACAGATTTAAAACAACTGATCACTGCTGCCCTGGATCTTTCCACCACCCCAGGGGCGCAGTACCACCCATTTTGGGACTCACTGACCTACACCAACAGTGGGCAGAGGGCAGATCAGAGTTTACTGGTAGGTCTCTGGATGATTTCCAGTGGATTGACAAGGATCTCTGCCTCACAACCAATTAACGGCAGAGTCTGTCCCCTACTGACTGACAAATCAGGTTGCTGAAATGAAAATCCCTGGGGAGAATATCAGGAGCAGATTTTTGTGTGAAAAGGTAGTGAGCTCAGTTCCCTCTGGATGAACTAGATGGTAGTTTTTATGATTTTAGTAAAAAGATAAATCTGAACTCTGCTCGCACCCCCCCAACCTAGCCTGTGCTTAACTGCAGCAACAGACAATATGATACTATACTCCGGATTTAAGCTTTCAGACTGTATGAACAGGATCACAAATATGAAAATTTTAAAAGGCAAAATGCATTCTCATGTTCCATAGATATTTTAAGTACTTTTTCTCTTACAACTTCACCTAGCTATACTGCAAACAGCCAATTTGAAATGGGCTGGCTTCTAGGTGTGTGTTCTTCATTCTGTACAGTGTTGCCAAGTTTGTTCAAGGGCAAATATCAGCATCCACCTTGTCCATTATCTGTAAAATGAATGACATTTTTTCCTTTGCCACCAGTAAACAATCCCCACTACTCTTAAAACTATAAGCTTTTATAGATGTTCTGTAACTTTGTAAATTCTCTGCCTCGTTGCAGCTGCAGCGTGGGCCTGTGTGGCTTGCAATATGGGGCATTCGATACACTTGACAATCCCCTGGTTTTGTGGCTTTAACAAGAAGTTTATCAGTCCCTTTTTGGCCCAGCAAACCTCACTGTTGGACCACACAGTGCCGGCCAGTTTGTCACATAATGAGGTGAATGCAGGACCTACCAGGCTAGGTTCTCGTATGTGGGTCTTGGAAATCTGGTTGCACTTCAGGGCAGCCACAAGACTGAATCAGTAGTGACAGGTGCAGAAGTATAAATCAGAGCTCAGCACACTCTTACCAAGGGACTAGAGTGAATAGGTCAAAGATGCCCAAGAGACAGGAATGAACTAGGGGATCAGTCCAGGATAAAGTCTGTTACACTGATGTGGTGTTAGGTGCCTTGATTGAGGAAAGGTGGGGTATTCATCTGATAAATAAGAGGGGAACAAAAATGGCCTGATACAGAGGGAATTCACAAACATAGCCGCAAATATCCCAGCATTCAAACATGGCATATTGGTTACCCTGGAAGTACTCACTGCTGGGTAAGGTCAGCATGGTTTCCTGAGATTGTGCTGTGACAGTGTATTTATTTATTTAAAACATTTATATCTGATGCAATATCAAGGATCTCGGGCAGCCTTCCTAAGTATATGGTGACCTTCCCTAGCCTGATCCTTTCTAGATGTTTTAGACTACAGTTCCCAGCATTCCCAATCATTTGCCAGGGTAGCTGGGGCTGATGGGAGTTGTAATCCAATCATTTGGATAGTACCAAGTTGGGAAAGGTTAGTGTATGTAGTAAATGTATCCTATAATTCAAGAGTTGTAATGCTGCGTAGGTGATGTTTTGCAAGGAAGACACCAGGTGTTTGGAGTGGAAGTTCCTTTTCAAGCCCTGCCATCCCTACCCTGTTCACACAGATTATTATATTTAGTAACACAAAACATTTAACTTTCTGTTTCTAGTGCTTCAGTTTGTGCCACAAAGTATTGACATTGGGTTCTGCAACTTCAGCCAGCGCATTGAAAAAGGGCTGACAATTGCATTTGGGGAGGTGAGGAAACATCACCTGGATATTTCAAACTTCACTGTGCAGGTGAGATGAAGCTGATGGTGATGACATAACAATTACATTTCACCTTTCTTCCTTTTGCAAGGAACCCAGGCTGCCTTATGAGGTTCTCCTCCTCTTCAGTTTATCTCCACAACAATAACCTGCTGAAGGAGGTTAAGCTTGTAGTGAGTGACTGGCCCCAAGTCATCCAGTGAGCTTCGTAGCTGAATGGCAACTAGAATTCAGGTCTCCTGAATCCCAGTTCAAGACTCTTAACCACTGTTGCACAGTGATACTTGCATTTGCTGCAGTGGAAACTGTTCCTCTGCCGCTCCCCTCAACTCTGCCTTATCACAGTTTGCGCTATATTGAAGATAACATTGATGGCACTTTAATTATTGCTATAATTATTCCCAGTCTATCTTGAACTCAAGACCATGTTCATAGAACATTTCTTTTCTAAAGCTTACTAAATTCATCTTTAAAAGCAAAACAAAAGCAATCCTAGCAAAGCAGTAGGTTAGCAGCATTTTGTACTACAATAATGATGCCTTGCTCAACAAAGGTGTGTAGATTTTACTGTAGTGAGTTGGGTAGAATTCCTGAAGCAGAAAATTATTAGTAGAACTTCTGTACATTGTTTAGTTTTTTGGTATGCTTTTTGAATGTCTGCTGCTGAATTGTTGTCAGTATTATTCATGCTTGTGTACCCCTTGTTCCTGTATACTTAAGCTATATGTTAACATTTGTCATATAAGCAGATTGTCATAGCCCACTTTCGTTTAGTCGAAACATAGAATAGTTGTAATTTTCATTCCCTCATAATATCAAGAAGTTTCACCCTTATTCATTTGATTCTTCACTTTTCTTTTGATCTGGAAGGATCTGCTTCCCAGTATCTGGTGTGATGGAATGTTAGGTTAGATACAACAAGGCAGCATCCAACAAACACGTGGGACTGGGGAGAGCACACACTCCAGCCCCGCCTGCCATTTGTGGCAACTCTCTCTCATTGCTTGTGGAGGGTTATGCTTTGAGAAGAGCCTCCAGGATCCATGGAGACGCCACACCAGCTAGAATGCTGGGACATCAAGTATTCTGACTTGCATGGAGAACCTGCACAAATAGAAGAGGCTGCCTTCTCCCAAGAGTGGCCCTCCATGAGTAGTGGGCAATGGCTGAGATGAAAGAAAGGGACAGGGAAGTTCCAGGTTCATTCCCTTTTGTACCCAGATGTTAGATGACTTGCTCTGAAGCAGCTGCTTTGACATAGCATGCCAGTAGAGCAAGCCATTTAACAGTTTTGTTATAAATTTCTGTATAGCGATGGTTCCTGACTTGCTACATAGGCAAGGCTTGCAGGTCATTTTGTCACTTTCTGCTTCTTCCTGCTGATAAATGCACAGAGGTTCACAGTATGCAATTAGTGAAACTCAAGAATAGAAAACTATGGCCATGTTAGCATGCAGTGGTAAGGCAGAGGTCTGGAAAATCCTGACTTACAATGTTTGAACTATATGCTGGTACCCACACTCTGCTCACACCTCACTTGGCATTTTCCACTAGTGCAACTGGCTTAGCAAACTCAGAATAACCTCTGTCATATGCTGTCCAGGCATGGGATCCTGTGCATGGAAGACAAGCTCAGGATTCTGAGTGAAGACAGAATTACAGGCTGATTTCTTTTCCCTGAGTTTATGATCCCTGACTTGTTAACGAAACAGCAGGCCAGAATCCCAGGTTTGAGACACATGCAGAATAAGAATTTGGTCAGCTAATTGCACTAGCAGGAGTAGCCTGGTGGGTATGAATGGGCTGCAGGCACTTGCAAGCACATCTTGAACAGTAAACCAGGATCATCCTGCATTCTAACTAATATTAGCATGATAATGCAACCACCATGTTCTATTTTGTTAAAAATCAGCTCAAAAAGAGCTTGCAAAAATCATCCTTGAAAACAATAATACGGAGAAGTCAGTAAACAAATAACCTTTATTTAAAAAAAGAAAAGAAAATTTGACCCCTAAAGGACTATTCAGGTTGGGCTACCCTGACGTATCAACTGAAAAGGCCCTGCTCCTTTCCTTACAGTGACCAGTAATAATGCTTAGCATTTATATGGTGCTTCAGTGTCCTCAAACCTTTTTGCATATGTATGTATCAGTATCCTTACAAAAACCATGTAAGGCAGGGCATCATTATTAACTTCATATTGCAGATAAAGCATTGAAGCTGCGGGAAAGCTGCTGGTCTAAGGGTGTTCATGGTAGAAGCAACATTTGAACTCAGGAGCTCTTCAGTTCACACACTGGGTTTTAGCTGTTGTGCTGCACCTGCACTGTGCCTCCAATTCAGTACAGGTTCAGCTACTTTATAAAGTCATATTCTGCACTGGATAGATGCTGTTTGGACAGTTGGGAAGAGATTTCTGAATACAAATCCTGGAAAAGTCACTACACAAGAGTTCTACATTGTAACATGCTGCTTTCTATCTTAGCTTCTTTCATAGATTCACCTAGCTGGTCTAGTCCGAAACACTTGTTTGCACTGTTTATATGCACTTTGTGGTAATTATAGTATTAGACTTGTGGGAATGAAGGTTAATGCTAATGGTGCTTGCTTTATTCTAACTTGGTTGTTTCAGATCTTGAATATAAGTTTGAGTAGATCTAGAGCAGTATTTCGACAAGGCCCTGTAAAAATAGTTTTTGCCATCCAAGAGAAACAGGGATATTTGAATGGGTCTGAAGTCAGTGAACTGCTACGGAACCTGTCTGTGGTGGAATTCAGTTTCTATTTGGGCTTTCCTGTACAGTATATTGCAGAACGTGAGTATTCAAGTCAAATAATGATGCTTGTTTTCCTACTGAGTCTCTGCTTACTTGCTTGTCATAATCTCATTATCCTACTTTTCAGAAGCCTTCAAGGTGAGTTACTCACATTAAAATATTTTATTGTAAAATAAGAAACAGCCTCAAATTACAATCCCTTTCTTTCTGAGCACTTGGTCCACAGCAGGACAGAGACCCAGGAGGTGTAAACATTTTAAAAGTAGGAGAACATCTGATCGCATGCCTCCTACTATTATGTTTGGTTTGTCCTTAAGTCATCAAGAGATACATTTGAGACTGCTGGGCCCTACCTTAGGAAGTAGAAGTGAAGCAGTAAGTTTAATATTTAAAGATGAAAAAGAACACATTGTTTCACCGTAGAAATTCACAATTTGAATCAAAAGCTGTTCTTATGTAAGCTAGAGCGTAGAACGTCAGGCCCGGGAATCGAATTTGACCTTCCTGCAGTCCAGACCTAGTCACAGACAGCCACATCCATCCCATTCTCCTCAACCACCAGTTGGACAGTTGTTTCTCAGATTAGGTGTTTTTTTCCTATTCTGTAAGGCTGAAATGCCGCTCCCAAAGCTTAATTATTGGCAATAAGAGCTTTAAGCTAACATAATGCTGATAATTTCGCACCACTCCTTTTGCCATGGCGTGGTCCCCTTGCCTACAGCCTGCCCATCACTGGAATGTGCCTCCTGAGAACGTCTCCAAAATGGAGTTCTGCTCTGAGGCTAAGTCTCTGCATGCCAGATGCAACAAATAACACAGTTCATGTATGTGTATGTAGTCATGTATGTGTACCATGTGTGTAATATATAATGTCTGGGTGCATGCTTGAGTTTTTAGATTCCAGAAGAAGGCACATTAGAAAAGCCACTGGGTGAATTTACATGTCAATGTAACCCACCCCATGAATGCGATGTATAGTATGAGTTATTTGCAGAACAGCCCGTGGTGCACCTGACAGGTGACTAAGCTTACCATGGGTTGTTCTTTCCCTTCTTCCTACCAATTTTCCAGTTGGTATCCCAGAGTCCTACTCAGAAGAACCTATCTTGTCTTCTGTTCCCTGCGCAAGCTGTAGCCCCTCTTTCTTTGCAGTGTTATTCCCCTTAGAGTTACCTCCAGTGACAGCCTCTCCCTTCCACGAAAAAGGAGATAACAAGCAAGTGATAACTGTTCCAAAGTGCCACATGGGCATCAGTGGAGTAATCACCACTGGTGGTGACAAGAGGTTTTGCTGGTCCTGCCTAGAGATTCGCTTGCCACTTCCTGCAACCCATGATAGGATCAATCTTCTGGGTTTGGATGACAAGGCAATCCATTGTAGGCTCAACAACCCCTAGAACAAGGTGGATGGTGGATTGTTGCTCCAAAACAAGCCACTCTGTGGGAAATGGTCTAGGTTTGGACAGCATGGCAACCCACCATGACTAGTTACCCCTGATAGATTTCCCACTGTGTATACCTAGGCAGGAGGCTAAGCCGCTCTGCAAATAAAATCAGAAGCTTTCTAATGTTATGCTTCAGCTTTCTTCCCCTCCTCCAGTCTCTCCTAATATGCAAGCATATAATGGTTGTGTGGAAATTTAATTAATTTAGTTTAATGGTCAGAACGTGGAGCTGGCAGCGATTATTATCTTGGTCAATTGACTTTCCCCAGGACCTTGGCCAATTTATTTCACTGTCTTACCATGAATTATAAAATGCTCTCTTGATTCTGGGCAGTTACCTTTTCAGTCTTTTAATATATGTTCCCTCTTCTCCCATATTTTTTCCAGCTGTTTATTACTCTCAACTGAACACATCATACTTGATGAAATTTTCCTGGGTGAGAACAGGTACGTCATGTAAGATTGAACAGTGTGCATAGTTTCTTGGTAACCTATTAGTTGGATATGATAAAGAACCCATCATTAAAGTTCCTTTAAATTTTAAACATAGTGTTTACGGTTCTGAATAGCTATGGACCAACTCTCACATGCTCACCTTCAGTTGATCCAGAAATGCATTTCTTAAAGCAAAATAAAATAGAAAGAATTTAGATCGTTTTCTGAGTTATTCTAAGCTTCAGAAAGCAAGACCCCTTTTCACCTGCCCCTCCTCCACTCCCCGAACATTCTCCCCCATCCTTTTGTTTATTTAGCCAGTGGTAGGAGCTTTGTTGGCAGTATACCACGAGAAGTGGAACAACTGCTCTTGAGATTTGTAGTTCTGTTATCCCAAAAGTTCTTCCCCAAGCCTGCCTCAGGAGGACATTGCCACTCTCTCTCATTCTGAAACCATTTCTAAAATATTTAACATTATTCCAAAAAGGCTATGGTAGAATAACAGGATGGTACATAGAATTGTATTCAGAATCCTGAGGTTATGAAATGCAATCTGAGATTACTTTGTCTGTTGAGTTATTGCTATTATTGTCACAAAGCATGCTAGACTGGGGTCTCTCAGCACTGCAAGGCCAACTCCGTCAAGAAGTGTTGATCCTCTGCAAGTGAATGGAACAATTCATTCATCGTGTGTGTGTGTGTATGTGTGTGTGGTTCTCCTTGCTGAAAGAGGGGGCAAAGCCTGTTCTCTGTAAGGACCCTGGAGCAAAAGGTCCAGGGTCCTTACAGAGGGTGACTTTCACCCACTTTCCAGATATTGGTGGGGCTAGAGGAAAGAGGAGCCCAAAGCAAGGTCAGAAGGGGTTTCTGGAAGAAGAGAGAGAGGGTAGCTGGAGAAAGAGAAGAAAGCAGGAGCAGAAGAAGTAAGGTAGATGAGATAGAAGGGAGGGAAGGAGGGAGAGAAGCCTGAGTGAGTCACACATGCAGATACTGGAGGCACTCTCAACATTTTTGTGATTGGCCCCCACATTCCTATGGTAGCTAATTTGTTGTGGTGCCCAGGATGCCTCTTCAAAATGCCAACTTTTCCACTGACCCCAAAAAGTTGGCAACCTTGCCTTGAACTATGTTTGGGCAACATGTGGCCTGCATACAGTCCCTGCCACAGCTGCGCAGCTGTACAGTTCAGTGGGCAAAAAAACAAGACAACAAACATGGAAACAAAAAACCCTGCGAAAAGATTGGCCTGAAAAACCCCTTAATTTTTGCTGTTTTTTAAATCGCTGCTGCCGGCTGCCAAATTTTGAAAGTAGCTCCAGACTGAGAAAAGTTGTTTAGTCCTGGCTTAGATTATGACTCTGAATTCAAGAATGGATTTACCACAACCACTTTCCCTCTGGGCTGTTAGGGTGGTATATAAATGCAAATGATAGAGAGATAGAGCGAGCGAGCGAGCGAGCAAGCAAGCAAGCAAGCATAGTATACTTGCTGTCTAAAGTGAAATGATATGTTCTGAATTGCCCAGGTCTGCTTCTAGAAGCAACACATCTATATTGCATTTCTCTGTCTCTTCTGTAATCTGTAAATAAACTTGTCCCTTGGCCTGATGCACCACAGTAAGCAGTTCTGCATTCTATACCATTTTGCTGGGTGTCACTTGTAGGTGAAAAAACACATCATAATGGTGCCAGGACACAAGGTGATTGGTAGCAAATCATTATGGAGCAGAGAACTAGTTACAAACCTGTTGTTTTCAACAGCAGCCTCACATTCTTTGCAAGCTATAGCTCCATCCTAAATAATGTGGATTGTTCTGCCTTTCTTTACTTCTGGTGTTGGTTAAGAACTTATGGAAAATGTCTAATGAAATAGTCGGAGCTGCACAACAGCAGAAAACCTTGTGTGTGAGGTACTTAGCAATTATTTTTTTATGTAACTTTGAATTATACATAAGTGGTGAGTAGTGATCAGTCCTCTCCACAAAGATATACTTTCTGGTTCACTTCCTGATGGAGAGTGATCAAGCCCCCACAGTGATATTAGTAGGCTTTTAAGTCAGACATACAGATCTTTTGCTTACTCAGGGATAATTCCCACTGAGTTCAGCCATTATGCCCCAGTTTTGCACTGATCACTCTGATACCCTTCCAGCATCAAAATAATCACATGGAGAGAAGACATTGAAGATTTATTTCCAGGTTTCCAAGAGATACATGCAAACAAAAAGGTGGACATATCCAAAAGTAATCTCATCCCCAAAATAAAAAGAGCTGTAGCAAAAGTTGTTTCAAAACAAGGTCATATTTTCCTCAGGTAATTCCAGGGAGCCAAGTTAAGCATTAGAAAGAACCAAATCTTGCAGGTGTGAGAAGTGAGACTGAAGAAAGTTTCTCTGTCTTCTAGTTTTCTACCATAGTAGTTTTCTACCCCCATTTACTGTTTCTGTCCTTGATGTCAAACAAGTTCTCTCTTAGCTGGTCAGATCAAAGTCCCATGGTTATATTTCTGTACTCTTCTGCTTATATATGACTGTTCAAATCACACGTCTACATGTCAGCTGTGTCAGCAACAGAGGCCAAATTGTTTCCAGAGAAACACCAAGACACCGGGTGCCACCAGGGATGATTCTTACTTTGCAATTTCCCTGCTTCATTCACAGATTTTAATAGCAGTGTCTAGGTGGCATCACCTTCCATTTGCAACCTTCCCATGTTTCCCAGTGCTTTGTCTGTCTTTTTTCTTTCCATGAAATATTTTCTAAAGTGAAAAGATGAAGTAGTAGCAGAAGGCCTTTTGGTAGTTAGCTTTTTAAGCCCTCTATATCAGAGTGCACACAGGCTAGATGCTAAAGATTTGGATCTAGAAGAAGTCGTAAACCCAGAGCAATGGGTCATTAATTGCTAAGTCATTCTGCTTGTGCAGCTTTTTGTAGGAGTGAAAACTAGGTTTTGAACTATGTATATGAAGTGAGTTCAAGGTATGTTTGATCCAGTGGTTATGCAGTGCTTGTGTCAACAGCTGCACAACTGACTGTGCCAAAAAAAAAAAAAAAAAAGACACAGTGGAGCCAGATGACACTATTCAGTGGGACTTCATTTAGGCATGACTGACTTCAGTACCATTAGTTCAGTGAGTCTCTTTGAAGTATCACAAAGCATGGATCCAGTCCACGTCTTTATTATATAAAAAGAAAAAGAAGAGCAAATGAAAAGAGCTTTTAATGACCAGATTTTAGACTTGAAATACATACACTGCATCTTGCAGATTAGTGAGCTGCAGTATATCCACCAAGGCTTCCATTATCACCAATGAATCAAATTCCCACTTCACTACTTTGAATCCCATTGCATGGGATTTAAAGCTGCAAATTCAAAGAGTTTTTCCTATATTCTTATTTTCTATCTGAATGTCTATTTCACTATAGTTGTCCTGGGTGTTGTCAACCAGAAAATTTATGAGGACGTTTTCCAGGCTGAGATGGAGCGGAAACTAGCCCAGTTATTAAATGAGGCCTTGGGCAGAGGGCGGATATGGAAAAGGGCAACGTTTGCTGGGAACAACGTTGTGCAGGTATACAAATAGAATTCGGGCAGCTGTCAAAATCAGGAGAGAGTGCATCAGTCATACAAAACTTGCTGATCTGTGATTGTCTTTCTCACCCCAAATGTTTTAAATTATGTGTTGTTCTTACTGCTGTCTTTTGATTTACTGGTGACTGAAGCAAAGGGCTTTTTCTTTGATAACTGGCTTGCATAAGCAGAACTTGAATTAATTGGACTGAGTAGGAATCTTACTTTGTGTTGTTCTTCTGTTATTGCTTCAAATAGATGAAATGTTTGCTTGCTTTTCTTCTACCTCCCCTGTGACCCTGTTGATCCCAACTCTTCATTTTCCAAAGTAGTAAGAAGTTGTCAGGATTCTTTCCACATCCTTAACCCATGGTGAGCTGAAGAAATTGTATTAGAGAGTAGCGACCTGTGAATGTTTCCATGAACACTGATGGACACAAAGTGATCCAACTTTATATAATACTTCAGAATGCTTCAATGCCATTAGTGTACATCATGCATTACAGTAGTAAATGTAATCACAAGACTGACTAATTATGTAAATAGATATACCCAAAGAATGTAATGAAAAGTGGAAATTGTTTTTTATATAACTTACTTTTTAATAGGAAAAATAACAACAGAAAATCATACATATAAAGGCAATAGAATTTCTGAGAATACATTAGAGATTAAGGTTTATATTGCTGTATTGTTATAGTAAGTCGAGTCAAGGTAACTAGAGAATAGGTTAAAGAATTGCAAATTAGAAAAAATCTAATTTGATTGAAATGAAATTGAACTTCAAAAAATGTGACTGGGAGAATAACCAGTGGAAAGAAGTGAATAAGTGGAAAGGAGAATAACCACTGACTTACAGCAAAATCTTTTATATTTGATATTCTGTTTAATACTTGTTTAAGTTCCCTTGATGTTTCTTCTTTTTTTCTTTTTCTTTTCTCCTATTCTCTCTTCTTTACTTCAAACATTAATGTTATTAAAATAATAAAAATAAATTATGAATTACAGTTTTACTTACACAGAAATAGAGGATCCTCGCACAAAGGAGTTTACTATTCAAAATACACAATGCACTGTCAACGGGAAAGGAAGCAAGGAAAAGAAAAGGATAGGTGTGGATAAATGAAGTAAATGCACTTAAAGCTTGGGTCACACACTCCGTACATACATACACCCCTGAATCACAAACATGTGAAGCGTGGGAAATGTGTTTGAGGAAAAGCAGCAGAGAAAAGGAGCAGAAGATGAAAAGCAGCAGAGAAAGGGAGCAGAAGATGAAATTTAAAAGTCAGCATGATCAGTAACAGTCTTTCGAGACTGTAGCCTTGGACACCAAATCAGCCTTCACAGCTATCTTTGTTGTGTGTGCTTGCATTTAAAAAAAAGTTGATGATATATTTTTAAAGTTTTGCTCCTGTGTTGATGAGACTGATCACCTTTAATCTTTTCTGAGTTTTGATGTATCGCTCCTTTTATTGGTGTGCTGTTCTATGATTTTAGGTTTCATTTTAAGCACTCAGCTGTTGATGCTATAATTTTTATGACTTGAGCATCTTGTAGAAATGTGACTGATTATATGGCTACTGTTCTAATCTGAATTTTTATCAGTTTTATAATCCATTCTTCTGCTGCTGGGTTGTATATCATGTATTAACTGAGTCGTATTTATTGGTCTGAGGTAACACTAAACCATAGCTCAGTGTTATGCAAATGAGTCTGCTCAGACACTCCCTTCCTGCTCAGGAATAGCTGTGAGGAATAGATTGGAAGCACCCAGTTCATGGTTTAGGCTAACTATAGTATGTTGTTACGTCCAAATCAGGAATTATGGGAACATTGTTTCTCTAACACTAAATATGGTTTAGCGTTCTTTCTGAACAGGACTGTTCTGTAGCAAGTTATTTTATTGAGAGAGAGAATTTGATTTGTTTTCAGAGGTGTTGTTGTTTGCTGCTCAGAGGGCCTGGTTTTGGCCATGTGGCAAGGCAGGAATGTGAGAAGTACATAAATAAATAGGTTCATTTATGACACACGTACAAGTGAAGCAATGTGGTGTACTTTACCCCAGCAATGTTGGAGGAAAATGAACTGCTGCTTATAAAACAACTTGGGAGTCTTTTATTTTTAAGTCTTCCCACAACTGCATTTTAACAGAGGAGAAACTATAAATCCATCTGAATCACTCAAAGAGGTTTTTTGTAGCAATATCTGTAAGTGTTAAACATACAGTGAAGATAACCAGAAATGACAGAGCTGCTGCAAGAATCCTAGCTATCTTCATTGTATGTTTGGATATACTTTCCTTCATCCTTCATTTCATTTTAGTATTTGAGCTTCAATTGGGATGTGGAAGAGAATTTGCCATGGGGAGGAAATCACGTTATACATTGCTGCCCAAAATTTATTCTGCAGGAAATATCATTTTTAGATTTGGAATGCAATTGTCTTTTCTTGTTAGAGCCAGTAACATAAAGTTTGTGTAATTTATGTTTACAACAAAGCCCAGAAGCACTGCCACAGCTAAAGGTTTGCCAGTGATCCCACTGCAAATTTGACATTTTGAGAGAGAATATTAGTGTTTGAAATATCATAACAAACTGAAAAGAAATCTGTAAATTATAACCTTAGATGACATGTTTTCTTCATGTGTTTTGATTTAGATCTCATGCTTGCTAGTTTAATTGAGGCAGCTCAGACATTATCAAAAATAAATTTATTGTGAAGTAAACACAGTACTGCCCTAGTACTATGTGCTGCTATACAAGTACAGGTGGAACCAGTGAAAACCCTTTCTGTAAATTCCCAGTTTCTTCTTTCTGCAGTCTACTCAACTGCTTAGGAGATTACTTGGTACATCTGGTGAAATGGGCTGTGGCCAGTGAATATTTATGGTACATTTGTTTGTCTTTTTAGTGCTTAAGAATCTTTTGTGTTCTTTCTTATAAGCATATTACATTTAGTGACATCAGTCGAGGAGGGAGATATCTAAGTATTATGCAAAACTTTTTAATCTGAAGCTTTAACATGTCAAATGTGCCTTTTCAGATTGTGAATGTGTCACGCTTAGAGGAAGTTGACAACCCAGTAATGCTGGTTTATTTTGTGGAGGATCAAAACGGGGAAAGACTCGGTGCTGTGAAGACGTCTGAATTGATTAACAAAGTGGATATCCAAAGGGCTGCCATTATTCTAGGATACCGCATTCAAGACCCAGTGGCTCAGCGTGAGTCCCGCTAAGAAATATAATGATAAGTGATTGTTAGTTCACCATTGTTGAGAAAAAATCAGTCAGAGTGCAGAACTCAAGGCCTGGCGGCCAAAGACAGCGTTTCTGGGATCCCAGTCAAGCCACCAAGTGATCCTCAGAAAGCCACGCCCTCATTTCCCCAAACAGCAATCACTGAGTGGTTTCTCAGCTTAGTTGCCGTTCTAATGCCTCCCCTAGCACTTAGCTATTATCAGCAAGAGCTTTAAGCTGCAATATGTTTGAGTTTTCCCTGCCCATATTGTCTTGACTTCACCCACCAGTGGAATCTGGCCCCATGAGAATTTCTCCAGAAAGGAATTGCACCTGAGGTTCAGCACGCATGGCAAGGGCAGTCATTTTCTAAGAGGGCCCTTAAGCAAAGTGGTCACACAGTTTTGTGGGTCAGCTGGTTCACAGTTGCATTTTCATGTTGTAGAGAATGCTCTGCTTCTCTGGAATATGTACAGGTAATATACTCCTTCGCATGTGAGTAGATGTTACATAAGACCAGCTCCTTCCGTTTATCTCCTATGATGCCTTTTATTAAATGTTTGTCTTTATTCACCTGTCCTACTGCTTCTATCTGGGCTTGCTTTTAGGACTTAGAGTTAAGGCAATATAGGAATATAGGATGGGATGCACTGTGTTTTTGTATGTCAACTCTGCATGCCCCCCCCCCCACACACACACACGCAAAAGGCTGGGAGGAAACAGAAATCAGATTTAAATACTGTTATAAATTAAGGAATTAAAAAAGCCTTGTAACTTGAAGCAAATATTGTTGGCATAACATGATCTTAGAAGTATAACTTGCAGTAAGTTTCCTTTGATTGAAATGACGTTTTATTTGCCACCCTTTTAGTAACAGGATGGCAGCTTCTGTCCATTTTATACACTTAAATAACTATCAGCTACATGTCAGAATTAATTAGTGATTTCAGTGAATATCATAAAGAGAAGTGAGACACATGATGGAACTATAACAATATGGAGATGAATTTTTGTCAGATTAAATATAATTTCGAACAGCAGGGATATGTAAGCTATACCAGAAGATTAAGAATGGCTAAGACTTGGCATTTGTGGGTTTTGGTTATTCAGTAATTTAGCAGAAAATGTTTTTCCCCTATCTTCTTTTAAAACATTATTTATTTCAAGAACTGTCCTTTGAGAAGGTAACTTCATTGTATATAAGGCTTCAAGATATATTATTATTTTATAGAGCATTTCATTGTTATCTTTCCTTTTTGCAAAGGAGCTGATGGTGAAGTATATTATTTATTTATTTTAAATTTCTTATATACCATCTAATTATTATAAATTCTCATAAAACCATATATGGTTTCCCCTTCTCTCTCATCTTATTTTCACAGCAGCCCTGTAAATAGTCACCTGCCCTGAGCTGAAGCCAAGTCTCCTAAGTCAGAGACTGTAAGGACAAAAATATACATTACGTGCTTTAATATTTGCCTTCAAAGAAGCACAGGCCCCCAGCTCAGATTGAGACCCTGGTGTGCATAGAGGGCTTTAACCCTCCCTTGTGCCTGCTGCAGGGTGGGCCACGTACAGAGCTGCAATGTGGGGGCGTGATCCAGATTTGGGGAGCCTGCGCCTGTGACTTGGTTTGTGAAATACCCATTTGGTTTGTGGATGAAGCTTTTGCAGTGGAAACTGCTCAGGGAGCTTCAGCTCTGGCGCAGCATAGAAATGTGGTGGTGGTGGTGATGGCCACAGTTGCAGGTGGTGGTGGTGGAGGAGGGAATATCGCCCATGCTCTAATCTAAAAGGGAAAGAATTATGAAGTTGCTAGGTACATCCTTAAACTATTGTCATTTTTGGACTTCAGGCTACACTGCACTGACTACACTAAATTCACAGGAGCTCTGATCACAGACATCTCAGCATCTTCTCTAGTTTAATTCGTAAGAGTGGCTTACATGGGGCTTCGAGGCTTCTCCCATCCGAATACTACTTTAATTTTAATAACGTTAACAGCATCATGTCCCACAGCCCAGAGTCTGGGTACCATACAAAAGGGGGTCTTGTTCTGTCTTGTGCTGCTTTGTGGGAAATACAGCCTACAAGGCTTCTGTGATGTGCAGATAACCCCTGAGCCCTCACAAGCCTTGGCCATGTGATTTCATGACTGAGGGAAGGCATGAATCTTGGACCATGCAGCAAAGTCCAGCATGGTGCAACTGCTTGGTCTAGTCCAGGGGCCGGCAACCTTTAACACTCAAAGAGCCGTTTGGACCCGTTTCCCACAGAAAAGAAAACACCGGGAGCCACAAAACCCTTTTGACATCTAAAATGAAGATAACACTGCATATATCATTTTTTACCTTTATGCTATGTATAAAAAAAAACTATAGTGTGTTGCATTTATGAAATCAATGAACTGCTGCAGAGAAAAGTTTTTATTTCTGCATGCAACAAAAACATTTTGAACTCCTAAAAAAAACAAGGAAGTAGATCTATATCTTCATCATGACTGAGCTGCAGCTCTTGTTCAGTCACTAAAAACTGTTATTTTTAATCTTACATTATAAACTAGTAGGACTCCTTTCATATATTTTGAATAGGGGAACAGCTTCCTGCAGAGTCAAAGTCAGTGCTAAAGGGCTGCATGCATTAAACAGCAAACCCCATAAGTTCGTCAGCAGTAAAAGCAAATGAATCTGCCCACGTACCATTAAACATTCAGTTTTCTTCAGAAACTTTTCTTCAATTTATCCATGTTTGGCCTACTGGTGTGGGAGGGTGGGGGGTGGAGGAGAAGCTCAGTAAATCGGTATGGGTCCCAGATTGGCTGTGCCAGAGATATAGGTGTGTTTAGTGACTGATTAGCAGATAAACAGGCAAGTGCTGTGAATTGTGACAGGTCCTAAGCGCAGCTTTTAACATTCAGATGAAGGAGCTTACATTTGGACAAAGAGGATCTTTTCAGCAGGGTTTGAGTAACATGCCAGCCTGCAGGAAGCTTGTTCCACTCTTTCCCTGCACAATAGCAGAGGAATGTTGCAATTTACTTGACCTGCTAGCACAGCCTTCCTGAGTGGATGCCTCATCATCACCTATTCGTATTTTGTAACTCGGAGCCTCGGTCATGGATTGGCGGCTGTGCCGGGAGGTGTTTTGAGCGTCGGAGCCACAACAGAGAGATTCAAGAGCCATGTGTGGCTCCGGAACCGCTGGTTGCTGACCCCTGGTCTACTCACAAGGGCAGCAACCCATGATATTTGCTTTCTGGATTGCAGGTACTGCAGCAGGTACAGCAGCCAGTAGCAGTTGGATGTGAAATATCCTACAAAAGTCAAAGATAGAAATTCTGGTTCATTCATGAACTCTGCAGTTGGGTAATATTTTGATTAGGATCAAGTTAGTTATTTACAGCATTTTACATTAAGCTTCAGGAAAAAGAAGGTTCCTAGATCCACCTACATAGATTGATCATAAGGCAGTCCCTCCTGTTGGGCTTACTATCTAAAAGACATGGCACAAAATGAAAAGGCATTGAATGGAAGGACAGAAACAGGAAAACTCAGACACCAGTTATAAGTTTCAAAGCTCTTTTAGCTGGTTCTCCTGGCAGGAGAGAGCAAAACAACTCATTCATAGCAACTCTCAGGTGACATCAGCACTGACTTGGGAGCAATGAGCAAGTAACTCAACTTGAGATTTCTACAGTTTTATGAACTAGTCACTGGAGGTTGTTCTGGAAGGCAGGCATGAAGACAGCAGAGGTGCTGAGAGGGAGTTTCAAGGAGGCAAGGGCAGCATAGGGAGGAGGAGGTTGCAGAAGAGGGAAGGCAAGGCTGCTGCTCTTCTTTTTGGCATGAGGGAGGTGGTGGGAGGGAAGGAGACTCAAGGGGCAGGGGCAGGATAGGGGTTTTATCTGTTCATTTAAATCAGGGTTGCAGTAAAGGATTTCAGTGAATCACTGAGAGAAGGGCAGGTGGGAACATTGGGGGGCATTTACAGCTCTCCCACACACACCGCCACCTCCACCTCCCTTTTTTCGGTTGAAGTTGGCTCTTGAGATTGAGAAGAGACTTGAGACACAACTTGAAAATTTCTTGAGACTCGATTTGGACTTGAAAGTAAAGACTTGAGATCTGACTTGGAGTAAAGAACTTGAACACATCCCTGGTAATTGCATGTTCCGCATGATGTAGCAGAACTGTGGATCATGCCCTTATTCATTTTGCACTGCAGAAAAAGTGAGGCACCTCTGTGGGTATTCAGGGGGACTGCACCCCTGGGACTGCACAGCTTCTCCAAGCAGAGTATTGCTGAGAGATGATTATGCTTCAATTGCTGACAGATAACACCAGGATGATAACACTTTAAGGATTTACGGGTATTAATAACTGCCTTTATTTTTCTTTAAAGGCAGTAAAAGATTTTCTGTATTAATGCAGTGAGATTATTGTTCATAAATACATGTTTATTTTATAAAATTGTGAAGGATTTGTCTTGCATGGTTTTTAACTCTCCCAAATCCTAGTTTGTATGAGTAACGATGGGTAATGCAAGTAAGCCCTTAAGCTTGTTGCAGTCTGCTTATTTATTAATATATTTGCCTTATTCAATGTTTTAGAAGTGTTACGATGTGTTAATATAGAACAATCTTAACTTTTTATATTTTTATCAAATTATATTATTTGGCATTGACATTTCTTTCATTTTGAAAAAAATCTTCAGAAAGTTAAGAGAGATGGAGAACAAAATGAAATTCATTTTGAAGAAATCATTTAAGCACATAAGAGACCAAGAACCCTTGGTCTTCTGACCTCAAGCCTGGGAGTCCAAATGCTGAACCTGCACAGCCCTTGTGGCCAGCCCAGGAAATTCCATGCCAGCTGCCTCCCTGAGGTTGGAAAACAGCCTTGGAAAGGAGGGAAATGGACGTATGGAGGGGAACCATACTCATCATTGGGAACCCTGATGGTACCTAAAATATTGATTGTGAATGCAGGCATTTGATGTATGAAGTTACCTCTGAGGCTTCATGGTGCAGGAGCCATTCCTCCATTGTGCAGGACCATTCAAATAGGGCCGTTGTGTAGCGTCTGTTCTCATCTTTGGCCAAATGAGAGAAAGTTGACTGAAGTGTGGAGTTAATATGTGCAGGTCTTCCTGCTGCTCTGATGGTCATATATTCCACACAGAGTCTGTGTGAGGACGGGGGCCCAAACTACACTACTTTTTCCTATAAGCATACATTAAAACATCTTCCTCAACTTGGCATCCTCCAGCCATAATGGACTTCAACTCCTTTCACCCCAGTGGCAGCAACAAGATGGCCAATGACTGATAAGAATCGCAGTTCATCACATCTGTAGGGTAACAGGTTGGGAAAGGCTGCTTTATGAATTAGGAGGTCTTACAATTAAAGATTGCCAGAACATTAATACATTCCAGCTGTCCTGGGTAAAACTCTAATTCTTCCCCAACTCCATTTGCAGCTGTGGACAGAGTCAAAGAATCCCCTCCAGAGTCACAGAACAATCTTTGGATTATTGTTGGTGTTGCAGTCCCAGTGGCTGTGGTGCTGCTTATTATCATCATTTTATACTGGAAACTTTGCCGAACAGACAAACTGGAATTTCAGCCAGACACTATGAACAACATTCAGCAACGACAGAAGGTAATGGGGTTGGGGTGAGTGGAAAGGTTCTGCAGTGTCGAAACCAGATTCTCCAACAAGTGACCTCGGTACCATTTTTATTATATGTGGTCACGAACTGCTATTTTGTAGACATTTTCTGTTGTATACCATACTTTCAGTGGCCTTTATTAATAATGGGAAAGATGAGAGCGATAGGCAGCATTTGTGGTTGTGCCCCGTCAGAATATCTTACTGGCAACTCCTTCTTGGTTGTTGAGACCAAATAGCAAAACCAAATCCTCAACAACTATTGCTTTAGATGAGCTTCTGACACTTATGTTGTTTGTTTTTACTCTGGCTGTGTTAAGAGTTAAATGCAGAATTCCACCTGGGGAAGATGGCAGTAGGATTTAAATTCTATGTACCAATCCCCCTGCCTCGCAAAAAGTTACCAAGTAATGTTTGAAGTGTTTTAGACACTTTTTTAAAAAGTAATTTTTTACTTTTTAAAAATCCTGAGCGTGTTTAGACAGAATAAGTGCCAACCATTTCCAGCATGAGCCAGCATGGCTGGCTAGGTGGGGAGTTGTAGAGGAGGTTTTTTCTTTAAACACGCACCTACAATTACATCATAGATGCACCATGTATAATGGTCCTAGTGTACTTAGCTTTAAGAAGCAGATTTACTGCATTGGGTAGCCTGCATGTTTTGTATGCATTAAAATGCAATTTTGAATCCCATAAGCCAGTGGACGTATGCTTCCAGTGGAAATTTAGCAGTTAGTGATGTGCCAAAGAAACTTTAACATAATTTGGAGTGGGCAGATTTCAGGCTTGAGAACCATGAGATCCACCAACCAGAGCTGAGCGCAGAAGGCATGCAGTTAGAATTAGTGAAATCTTTGTTTCTTTGTTTTGTTTTGAGCACCAGAACTGAAATGAACTCACAGTCCTTTCCCATGAAAAGGTTGCCACATGATTTTCTTAATTTCAGTAGCCTAATACCCTATTTATTGCTGCTACCATTAAACATCTGGGTGTCAGAAACCCTTGCCAGTCTTCTGGAGTAACCCAGACCTGTGCTAGATCCAGATCAATCTTCTGCCCACCACAGACGGAAGAGTCATGTTGGATCAGACCAGAGGCCCACCTAGTCCAGCATTCTGTCCCCACAGTGGCAATTGCATGCTGCCGTTCATGTTCCTCAGCAGCTGACTTTGAGAGTTACATCAAACATGTCCTATCCTCATATGTGTCATCAGTGTCCAAAGCAGAGGCTTGCACATTTTTCCCATTAGGAGACATCAACATTGTTCCCTGACTCAAACGCAGAAAGGAAAATGCACTTGCACTTTTCCTGGAATTATCGGTAGTGTCCAAAGTGAATTCCAGGCTGATCCCCAAAGCACTGTGCCATCACAGGGTCCATGAGATTTGGATTCCACTAGAATAGTTTTCTATTTTCGGTTAAATTCTTTAGCTGCTAAAGGCTTTTTATGCAGCAAAATCCTTCTCATCTTTCCCAGAAATAGTTGACTCAGCTTGCTTCGTTTTTCATTTTGCTGTAGAATGCCTTTGCTTGTTCATGGTATAGAATGCTGCATATTCTTTTCTTTTTTCATTAGTGAGTCTACAGAAGTTCTCCATTTTAATAACCTTTTGATAAACATATAGAGATTTCTTGTGGTCTTTAGAATGGGCAGTATTACACACTAATTGAATCACTTTTAGGAGAGACCTAACTGCCCATCATATTATTAAAGATAATTAGAAGCATAGTGTCTATCCTGTAACATTCACATTAGATAAAAATGACTTAGTATAGTAAGTTTTCTATTGCTTGGACTAATCCAGGAGGACCCAAATTATTCAACAGCTGTTGTACTTCTCTTGCCCTCTTTTGGTCCGAGGACCAATTCTCTGCTCTCTTGGCTTGCTTTGGCCTTCCAAGGCATCTGAAGATAGGACAAATAAAGGACATGGGAGCTCTCTGTGTTGGGACACCCAAATGATAGTGCAGTGCCGTGTAGTGCTTAGAGCTCTTCTTGCCTCTTTTGCTGCAACCTTTTAAGGCCGCAAGAAAAAGGAAGACAAAAGTGGCCTATAAGACAGTGTCTTCAGGTACTAATGCTTGCTAGTTACGTTGATTGGGGAGCGATTGCTGTATGCCATTAGTGACCAGCATGTTGTTGGATCGCAGATAATGTATATGAGACCTTGCAGTTGTCCTTCCTTCTAACAGAGGGATCAGCCACCATCTTTCCATATCTTGTGCCTGGAAGCCTCCTAGGAAAGGGGAGCAGCATATTAGTCCCTGTGCTGGGCTGTTCAGCACATTGGCCGATGGCAGTCCTCATGTGAACGCTATGAAACAGTGCACCAGCAGACTGCTTTGCTTCCACAGTGCTGGTTTACTGCTACATCGTGCAGTTTCTTTCTGCTATACTTTGGTTAGTAAATTGTCATGAGACTGCAGAAAGCAGACTGAGAGCAGCGTCCACATACCTGTCCCTTGCACTAGATGTGCTCCTCTTCTATCCTAAATGTTTGGGAGGGTGTGGGGAGATCAGCTCTTGCTGCTCCTGTTTCTGTGGGTCTGTCCCTGTTCACTGCCAGTGCACCTTAGTAAGAAGTTAAAGCAGTGCAGGCAGACACATAAGAGGCATCCCTCTGCCCCACATAAAGTCACTGCTGCCCACGTGAATGGACTATTGAGAAGACCAGGTGTGACAATCCAGGAGCAGTTGCTTTACAAGGATTATTCCACTTTCCAAAGAGAGACCTTTCAGAGAGAAGTTAACAGAGTATTTCATTGCTTTCATCACATATGTGGAGAAGATTCAGGGTGATGAATCAAAATGTTTTGAAATCTATTTGTAGGCATAATAAAAACTAGTTGTGAATTTCTAACCTGGGTATATTGCAACAAGGATGAATCTTAGTCCTTTTTGCTCCAGTGGCTGCATCACTGATTAGTCTCTGCGAGGCAGCGTTTTTAGCAGAAGAGTTACATAAAGACATGCAAAATATTACTAACCTACTCTGCAAGTCCCCATATCTCCTGTTGATGTGACGAGCACTGTCACAGAAGTAAATATTCCATTTCCTTGAGAAATAAGACGCATTCAATACCAACATTTGTAAGTGACACAACTTCTGGTATTTCCCATCTTCAGCCAGCAGGTTCAGTGTTTGCTTAATTAAGTAGATATTTTAAACAGCAGTAGGGATGTGTGTGAGTGCACACCTGAACAAAAACTGAATTCCTTAGCTTTCAAAGCAATTAGCATGATTTTCTTACCTGGAGTAGCTCCATCCCAATGTTTGAGAAATATTCTGCTGAAATGCAAATATGTCTTTGGATCAGGACTAATCAACCCATGGCCCTAGGTTTAGACTTAGGTACTTATTAGAATTCTGTCTTTTTCTAACTCTCACATTTGTAGGAAATTATTTGAACTCACAATTAAAATGCTAACGATTTGGGAACAAGTAAGAAAGGTTTATTTGTTTGTTTTTTAAAATGAACTGACATTCACTTTCAAGGACACACTCTACTCTTTAACAGTGAACAGTTCAAAAATAAATGAAACATGGCCTTCAAAATCATATAACTTTTCACCTGTTATGTTTATATAACTGATGTATGAGTTGTGAGTATAGTTTTGGTTTTTAAACTGCGCAAATATGCAAACAATGAAAGTACAGTGTGTGCACTGTATATTAAGGTATACTGGACACAAAGTGAAAAAAACACTGTGAATACATAAGGTTGACATGTTATACACATTACCGTGGCAGGAGGCCAGCTGGACTCAGTAGAATTTATGTTTGAGCATACTTGCATGGATGGCACTGTAAATAATGTATTTTTAATCTTAACCAAGGAATCATCTTGCTGTTGGCAAAGGCCCTTCTTTGCAGGTGCACGAAGAAATGCAAGGATTCAACCCGTCTGCTATTTATTAATTCCTGATCATTCTGTTTGTTCCCTTGAAAGATTGCATCATGCACCTATTACTACCCTTTGAAGATCAGACTGGGATATAAACTCAGTTACCAACTTCTCATTGACTCTGAACTGAAGTCATTTCTGAACAAATGCTTTCCATATTGGTTGTTAATTCCCTTTAGCTTTTTTTTAAGTACTCAAAGCATCTCTCCCTTTTAAAAGCACACAGCAAAATACCTGTGCGTGTTTCCCATTTGCCACCACCACTAGTTTTCCAGAACTGTGTACACTAGCATTTTTGCCATGTCATAATTCACCAAGACATTTTTACAGGATCTCCAGAGCTGCTCAGAGATTAGCTGCCAGAGCTGAAATATTATTATTCCTGGGATCAAATATAGGCCCTTACTCATTAAGCAATGTGGCTTGTCAATGTCTTTAAACAGAACAGAGCAGATTCTGTACATGGAGAGAGAGGGTGGCACTGTAGAGAGATACATACCAACACTAACATGTATGCAGACAAAAAAGTAAATTAGTTCATACTGGCTGTCAATAAATTGACTGTGTTCACACACAATGCTTAATCATGCTTTAGCAGCAAGCCTAAGGCTCATATCCTGCTCTATGCAGCTTTGTTTCCTGCAATTGTTGCTTAATACCGGAAAAATTACAGTGAGGCAGCAAGTTTGTTCATCATTCCCTAAGGAGAAAGTCAGTGGTACATTCTGTACCTATTTCACTACACAGAAAGACTAGTTGGACATCATTACTGCATCCTGTAGGACAGAGCTGGGGAACCTCTTTCAGCTGAAGGATTGAATTCAGTTTCCAAGATGCTCTTAGAGATGCATTTCACAGATGGATGGGGGGAAAGCGCAGGGGCAGGGGCAGGGCAATCCGGGTGCAGCTAAAATACCAAAAATATCTTGTCCGGCATTCTGTTCACACTCTGGCTACTCAACTGCCCCATGGGAAGGGCAGAGGCAGGACAGGAGTGTGTCCTCACACCTTTCTTACCCAGGAACTGGAACATGTAGGCATCCTGCTTCTAGTACTGGAGGCAGTGTGGAAGCATCAGGATTACTAGCATTATCCTCCAGGATTTTGTCCAATCCCCTTTGAAATCCATCTAAAGTAGGTGCTCTCACTACATCATGCGAAGCTGAATTCCATACTTTAAGTATGCCCTGTATGAAGCACTCCTTCCTTTTATCTGTTCTGAATCTCCTGCCACTCAGCTTCATGGAGTGATCCCTTTGGGGTCAAGCGTCACAAGAAATGGAGAAAATATCTCCCTATTCACATTCTCCATACCATGGAGAATTTTGTACACTACTACCGGTTTTACTTTTTTCCTAAGCTGAACAGTCCTAGGCATTGTAACCTTTCCTCACAAGGGAGGTTTTTCAGCCCCTTGATCATTTTGGTTGCCCTTTTCAAATACGTAATATATCACCTAGGCCATGAAGTATTCCAGTCTTGGGAAAAGACCCCAAAGCTCCCTTCACACACTGTTCTTGCGTAGGTTGCCTTCCTGGCCATGCCTTCAGCATCAGGTATACTACGTGGGCCCATCTCTACACATGCAGGTGCTTACATAATCCACAGTGAAGAATTGTATGTAAGGGTAGCTGCTCTAGGTCCTACACATCCTGCAGACCCTTCATGACATACAAGATGATCTAACCATGCTTGTGTTTTCCCTGACTCTGGTGCCTGTGTGGACAGAGTCTGCGGGTTTCCAGATTATCATGATTTTAAGAGAAGGCTAAGCTTTTTTACATATTTTCCTCCTGAATGCTTCAATTCCACACAGTGCAAGGAACACCAATACAATCATAATTTGTGGAAGGTGATGCAGAAGAAATTGCCTGTGATGAGGAAAACCAATAGATAACGAAAAATGAAGGTTGAAAATGGATCAAAGTGGAGGGAATTGAGAAGTAGGGAGAATCTATGAACCACCTTGAAAGCAACATATTTGAAAATTATAGTGAAAATCAGATAGTATGTCATGATCTGAATATTCTGTTTGTTGCAGATTTATTGTGTCTTTCTTTTAAACAGCTTAAGGTTCTATTCTATTTATCTTCACAACAACCTTGTGAGGGAAGTTTGGTGAAAGCTGATGATTGACCCTTTAAGCTTTGTGGCTCAATTTGGATTTCAAACTACTCTGGTTTTAGTCCATTATACAGTCTTTTTCATGTTAGGTTAATTTTATCAGTACATAATTATCAAAATTATTAATTATCAAAACTGCATGAAGGAAAGAAGATAGCTTGAATCAGTTTTCACCAGAAAATTGCTGGTGCACTTTTGGAAAAAGTGATTTAGAAAGTCACTTTTGGAAAACGCACATTTGGAAAGTGGCTTGAATGTAAAGGGTGGGAAAAGAAAAAAGTGGCATTAATTGGTCCTGCTACTACCAAGCTCCATTCCCCATGTCAGTAGGATTGGAATTGGAGCAAGCCACTAGAAAACAGCAGAGAGCTATTGGCATGCTTTGATGGATTTCACAATGGGAGGAAATTAAAACAAAACGAAATGAAACGTAAGAGCCCCCACCCTGCCTATGAAGCAGTCCAATAAGCACAGAGGACACTCATTGTCAGAAGAGAAAGCTAGAAAACAGAATGCAAAAGTGATCTGGCTTCCTTGAGTCTCAGAAAGGTTATAACAAAGGTGGACTGTCACTTTCTTGGGAGCCAAATGTTTCTCTGCTGATGACTCAATGGGCTGAATAACATCTGGGTGCAGACCCAGAACCCAGTGTTGTTTAGAGCCATGGCTTTGGGCAGGGACCCAACTTCAGGGCACCCAATCTTTCACTGCTGGGCAAAACCGACGCAGCTGGTTCCCAGCCAAGGCACTGGCTGGTGGAGTGCTCCTCCAGCCAACACTTAAGTCAGATACCCCACACCTTCCCACATTAGGGAGGAAGTGAGGTGGTCAAAACAAAGGAATCCTGCCTATTATCTCTCATTGCTGAATGGAGATAGCAACAGAGACTTCTCCCCCCATTAGCCTTTAGTAGGGGAACTCACTTGGACCATGCAGGTCAGACGGATCTGCCTGGTGAGCTAAGGCTGGCCTGTTTGCTGGTGTTCCCCAGCCTGTCTTACTGTATTCTGGAGGAATGTGTGCCTAGCAGGTTGGGACCTGGAATAGGAGTACTCCTGTTAAAATAGCCTTCCCCCATCTAGTGCTCTCCAGATGGTTTGAACTACAGTTCCTGGAATTTCAGGCCATTAGACCATTAAAGTGGCTAAGTCTTATAAAGTCCGAAACATCTGGAGAGTTTGGGAAAAGTTGTGTTAAGAGATGCAGATACACTGCTCCATTTTGATGCCAGGCCTGCTGGTGTTCCAACAGCTGACCTGAAAGCATGATGTTATTAACTGCCTATATATAATACAATGGCAAATAGACAGAATGTGTCTTTCCCTTCAAAGCTGTTTATCTCCATCTACTGGTTCAGGTTTGAGAGTGACACTTTCTCCAACCTGTTGTGCAGTAGCATTAGTTTGCTGGTACCAACTTGTTTAGCTGTGGTGACAGCATCAAGATGGCTGGGTGTGTTTAATGTTGTTTGACTGAAGTATGCGTGCTATTTTTCATAAATGTAGCAAATAGAATCAGTTAATTGGGAATGCTGTACACATGTTTGCATGATAATATTTTTAGGACTCCATTCTGACCCCCACCAGATGGCCAATGGCTGTTTGGGAATTATGGGACTTGTAGTCCAACAGCTGTGGCAGGTACCAGGTTGAGGAAGGCTACTGTAGACATATCAGGCGTACTAGTACATTCGGTATTTTGGGGTGGGTTGTGTCCTTTACTGTATAAATTGTCTTTGTTGTATGAATTGTCACATGTAGTTTAGTATCTTCATAAAGAGATTCAGGATATTTTCAGATTAGCTTGTGCCTTATTCATGGAATTGTACAGGTTGTCTTGTCATCGTTGTCTTTTATTTGTAAGTCAGTGATGTTTTCCCTTCTGTCCTTTGTCTTCCTGTGGATGATCTGTTAAGGAAAAACAGACTGAATAGCGCATAATTCCTTCTGACTGGCAGAACTAGGGGACCTTTGTTTGGAAGCGTCCACTAATTTTGGACAGCAATCATGGAAAATAATTAACTTTGAGCAACAAAAATCAGGACTTAATGTACGTAGCTCTTGACTGTGCAGAACTGTTCCTGTTATTTTACCACATTGTTGTAAAAGATGATATTCATGCTTTCACTTTTTTTCCAGTAGTTCATGTATCTTTTTTCTTTTTCCATGTTATTTTGGTATTCTGCAAATATTTGGATTCATCTGCCAGATTTGCATTCTTAACATGTCATTCATGATTGCTTTGTCTTCCCTTTCTTCATTTTTTGACAACATAGTTACAAGCTCCCAGTGTGAAGGGTTTTGATTTTGCAAAGCAACATTTAGGCCAGCACAACAAGGATGACATCCTGATCATACATGAGCCAACTCCTCTCCCGGGACCAATTAAGGACACTACCCCTTCTGAAAATGGTGACCTGCCGAGCCCCAAGACCAAGCTTTCTTCAAAGCCATCCAAGAATGTCCGACACAGAGGGAGGTCAGTTCAGATGATGAGAAATTGCTTGGCACAGATTAAAGTTAATTAGTTACGGAGGATTATTTTGCTATATAAGGGTTTTTCTCGGCTTGAATAGTATTTGCTCAGGGACTTTCCTTTTACATTAATCCACAAGGATTTGTGTCTAGTTCTTTTTTAGGTTCTCTTGCTGGGCTTATTAATTGTGGAAATTTTTCCATTTAGAAGTGTGGGTTGAACCAGCATATGAAGTGTTGTTAATATGATTTAATTGTGCAGCTGAACTTTCTGATGTATAACATGATGACTAAACGGAAAAATATAATACATCACTGCATTTAAAATCCCTTCATCTTACATTTGCTCTTCCCTAATTGGCTAGCCTCTTCTGTCAAGGGTGGAGAATCTCTTTCAGCCCAAGGACCAAATTCAATTTTGGTCTTAGGGATCACATTCTAGTGATGGGCAAGCCAAAGGCAAACACATGGGGTTGGAATCCAGAAATGCCAACCTGCTGTGCAGTGGTTAGATGCTGGTCTTCCAGGGGACCTGGGAAATCCAAGTTCTAATCTCCACATGGCCATAAAGCCCACCAAGTGATGTTGGGCCAGTCATGACCTCTCAGCCTGACCTACCTCACAGCATTGTTGTAAGGCTGGAACTGACTGAGGTTGGACCATTGTCTCTGGCCTTGGATTGGGGAATCTGAAATGCCTAAGACTCCTTCGATGCTATCTAGATTCCATAGCATTGCTCCCTAAAGCTCTTACTGCTAGTAACTTGGGAGTGGGGTTTCACCTTTTAGAATGGAGAAAAGGCTGCATAAACCCACCAAATAATTATTAGCTACGGGAAAGCATTTGGGGCTTGGGAAGAGGGGCATGGCCATCTGGGGAACTCTATAGGGCCAGACTGAAACCCCAAGGTCAGATTTGGCCACCAGGCTTGAAGTTCTCAGCCTCATCTCTGAGGCTTATCTCAGCTCCACACACTTCTTGCATTACTTTTAGGGAACATAAGAGTAGCCAAAAAAAGCTTTTGTTCCCTTCACCCACTTAAAGGGAAGCACCGCCTTGCTTTCTAGCCACACTGCAGACTTCGCATGCCAGGTAAGCATTTCCTCCCATGCCGTTGCATTGAGCATGAAGTCTACAAAAGTGTGCCTGCACATAACTGAGGAATGTCAGTGAAGGGGCACATAGGTCTTTGTGTGAATGTGGGGAGCTAAGATATGGTACAGTGGTACAGTGCCTCTGACTATGGAGGTTCCAGTTTGTTTATTTATCATATACATATCCTGTTTTTCCCCTTTCAAGGAACTCAAGATAGTTTCTGTAGTTCTCCTTTCAATCTTATCCTCACAACAATCTTATCCTCAAAGCAACATCCCTGTGGGGTAAGCTGGGCTGAGAGTTTGTGACTGGTCCTAACCTGGTGAGCTGAGTGGGGACTGGAACCCAGATCTCCTGAGTCCCAGTCCTCCATTCTTAAATACTGTGACATACTGGCTCTCATATGATGTACAATTTCATTACTAACTAACAGAAGTTAGGAGGGTGGCTTTCATGATGCAAACAAGAAGAAGCTAAAATAATCTCAGAGTAAAAATAGAGTACAATGCAGCGAATAAAACATGAGTATAGAGTCAAAAGTCTGCTTCAAAGAACAAAGAGCAGAGCATTAAACCAATTAGAAATCACTAAGGAGAGGAATAAATAAATTACAGTTCTCCCTATGCCAAATGACTGCAGACATTAAAACTCCTGGGAAATAATAAAAAGGTCTTAGCTTGGTGTTGGAAAGGCACTGAAGATTCTCCAGGCCTTCTTTTTCATGTCCGTGAATGGCAATCAACCATCTCTGCCATGATTTTTCTCATAATAGTATCTTGCTTCTGTGAATTCTGTGCCTTAATTATGTGTAAAAGAAGCAGTACTTCCCTTTATCTGTCCTGAAGCTATTGCTAATAATTCAGTGAACTATTACATGTTATTGAATGGATGGCAGAACAAAGGAAGGTTTGTTCAGAGGGAAAGACATTGTGGCCAGTGTGGTGTTGTGGTTAAGAGCATGGAACTGGGACTCAGACAATCTGGGTTTTGGTCCTAGGTGACTTTGAGCCAGCCAAAGACTCTCAGCCTAACCTACCTCACAGAGTTGTTATGGGGATAGCATAGCAAGAAGAATTATTATGTAAATGAGTTTTTTTAATAAAAAGTCAGGGTGTAGATCAAATAAGTAAATATTTGATGTGCCGTCTGGTACACCTCTACAAGTATCCTCCGGGCGTGGGCTGAAGGCAGTGGTTGCAATAAGGCAGCTTGAATGAAGCAAATTTGGATCTGGTCAGCACACCTGAATGAGAAGATGCCTGGAAACACTAACAGCCACCTTAGTTCGGTCACTAAGGATGTAATTCTGTGGAGTTGAAATAACCCTCTGCTTCCCCACTGCTTTTTTGTCATCCCGTAGCAGATCTCAGAGGGAGAGGGGAGGAGGATGAAGTGGATCCAGGATACTTCAGTTTCCTCCTGTCCTTGATGCCCCAAATGCTTCTTGTTCTCCCTTTCCAAGCAGCAGCGTTGCCCGTCCAATTCCCAGCTCTGAAGTCAGAATGCTGCCTCCAAGCTCAGAACTGGGAATCTGAATTGTTCTGTATCTGTTAAGGTCCATAGGATTGTTCCCAGCAAAAAATAAATGCTATGCCATGGTTTATTTTTAATTTCTCCCGGGTTTTTGTACCTGCAGAGTTTCCCCCTCGGATGCTGACTCCACTGCAAGTGACCAATCAAGTGGTCGAGAAACAGGAGAAGAAATGACTCGAACACAGACAGCTGTGAATGAGGTCAAACCTCACAGAGTCGGCAGGTCTGGTACGTTACATCCTTTTATGCTACAGCTTTCATAATGTGAAGAATTTATACCCATGTCTTTTCACAAATAACACAGGTGGGCCAAGAAGATGGAAACTACTGGATAATTTTAGCTAGATACAGCTTGTAATAGATTCATGTGGCCCTTGCCTTAAAGTGTCACAGCTTGTACAAGTTTCGCACACATGAAAGAATGTACAATCTGCATGGAATCCATATATAATCTGCTTTGGCATCCTCAATAATTTCAGGTTTATGGCTGCAACTTGCTCATATCAGCGGATAGTGATGGAAGGTCTTGGATCAAAGACTAAAATTGGGGAGGCATTCAGCAGATACTACAGTGCAACCCAAATATAATTGCCTTCTATTAAACCAGAGCAATTTCTGTCATTTAGCTAATGTTCCTACTGAGCGGGCCCCAAGAAACATTGTATTTGACTGTGCCAGTTAGTGGAACAATTGTGATATTAAAACTGAGATGTCTGAAGAATTGTGTGAATTTCATCCCATATCGGATTTGGACCTTCAGCAAAACAAACATGTCATACCTTCCCCAAGGATACAGGTGGTAGAGCTCACATTTAAAAGCAGCTCTACGTGGGAAATTCCCTCATGTCAGGATAAAACATTCTGGCACAGAAGCATGCAGTCCTCCGCATTCATTCTGCAGTGGAGATACACTCATAAAAGACCCATGCCATGTACATTTCTGAAACATTTGAATCAACTTGCTGTGTTTTTTTCCTGTAATTATGAGCTGCCCAGAGGTGCTATGGCACGATAGGGCGGCATACAAATGTTTTAAATAAATAAATAAATTAAATAAACTCCCAGTTTTTAACATTTAGGAATAGGTATGCCAGAATAATTTTCAGCAGGCTCTGGCTCTTTCTTTTGTCATTGTTTGCTGAATTATAATGCACTGCTTTTATCTTTTTTCTGAATGCTGCCAGGAGTAAATAGAGTGGGTAAGTGTGCAAAAGAATGTGTGAATTCTAAAGCATGCACTGAGAGAGACTTAACAGCAAAAGTTTGTAGTGTGGCTTTCGGTGTCCAAGGTTGGTATTGTGATGCTTTCTCAGTGTGGAGTGGTGGTTAAAGTGTTGGACTGGGGCCCCAGGAGATCTGGGTTCTAGTTCTTACTTGGCCATGGCGTTCGCTGAGTGCCTTGAGGCAGTCACTCATTCTCAGCCTAACCTACCTCACAGGGTTGTTGTGGTGCAGATAAAATTGAGTGGCGAGAGAGCCCTCTTACAGAGGCCAACACCTTACCAAATGTGTGTGGTGTTCCTGCTCCCTGGGGCCAATCATATGAGATTGGTGGCTTCTGGTGTAGGCCTAAGTGGGAGCTGTTCCCCCTGGTCTGCTCCTAAGTGATATACATTCTCACCTGTAAGTGTGGACATTGTTGTCCCTGACTTCCCTGCTCACCTGCCTCTGGTTTTGGTGCTAGTTACTATATCTTGGGTGAAGGTTGCCTGCTGGTTGGCAGGACTGGAAATGAATTTTACTTGCATTTGCATTTGCTTTTGCCATTAGCCTCTCCAAGTAATGTTTTTGCCTCCTTCATCACAATATGTGTAGTTTATTGTTAAAGAAACACTATTTTATGTTTCTGTAAGTCTGAGGCCAGTCTTTCCCCATCCTCTTTCAAGCAGGTCAAGACAAGAGGCTTTTAACTGCCATCTTTATTATGTTAAACCTGGTTAGCTAGGCTGGCTTTGTGATTAGAAAAAGGAGTATTGCAGAAGTCATTAACAAAAGACACCAGTAAAGTTAGAATACCAGCTATTAGGTAAATAGGGTTTATGCTAATATGTTGGTTCTAAATGGAATGCCTCTCCTCTCTTCCCAACCAAAAGGAGTTAGCTCCACCCTCAGGGTGGTTCTTGCTGCTTACAGGCCAGATGGTGGGAATGTTGGATCCTACGCATTTGGTCTTCTCTTTAGATCTGATGCTGGACTATGGGATTGATTGTATTACCTGCACCCTCATGTGGTTCTACCTGTTTAACAGTGTTTCCCACAAAACCATATGTGGTTCGGTTCTCACCAGCCACGTGGCTTACTTCAGAACATACTGGCATTGGCATTTCAGCTAATAATTGCAGCCCTGCCTTTACTCCCAGTTGTAATTCATACTCGGTGGTTATTCCAAGTTAGATTGCTGTCATGTGCTCTGGTGGGGCTGTCTTCGGAGATGGCTTAGAAACTGTAGCTTGTGCAAATGTGGCAGCTGGATTAATTGCAGGGACCGGAAGATCTGAATATATAATACCACTTCTGGCCCACTTACACTGGTTGCCTGTATGGTTTTGAGCCAAACTGAAGATAGTGCTTTTCACTTAAGCCTTAAAAGTCTTTCCTGGTGCCTCTCCTGGCATAAATCTAGCTATATACTGTGTTCTTTATCTCTTTACTTAAGATTTTTATATACTGTCCAACTACTATTGTCTTGGGATGGTTTTACATTAAAAACAAGAAAAAAATAAAGCATAGCATCCAGTAGTAAAATCATACATTAAAAACCTAATCAGCTTTTAAAATAATGGGTAAATAAAAAGGTTTTAGTCTGCGTTATCCGAGGCTCTTCTCCAGGGGCCTTCTCCTAGGAAGGCTTGGAGGATGGTAAGCATTGGGAGAACCTTCTCAGTGGTAGCCGCCCCTCTGCCCCAGTCATGGAACTTTCTCCTGTGGCCTGCATTCTCCTCTTTTTAGCACCAGGTTAAGACTTTCCTCGACTTCCAGGCATTTGACATTAAATGCTGAACTTGTTAATGGCTCCTGGGATTTACAGCTGATGGTTTAAAACATTTATACTTTTGTTTGTTAGTTTTATGCTACGTATTTCCAGGTTTTAAATGTTGCAAACCATCCGGAGAGCTTTGGTGCTTGGGTACTAGATAAATGTAGCACTGCTGTTTTCACTGCTGCCCACAGTGAAATTGTTGGAGACTTCAGACTAGATCCATGGCAAGGGTGGGCTGCAGGGTTTGCCTGCCCAGTTGTCACTCTAGCCCATCCTGGGTGCTGGAACATGTGGCCAACGGTGTAAGTTTGGGCGGTGATGAGTCAGAGTCCTGCTTTACTCATTTCTGTTGGTATTATGGCCATCTGTTTTCGTAGTCATTCAAATGATATCATTCAAATGATGAAACACTATTTGATCCAGAAGATTTTGAGAAAGGTGACATACCATAGATCTTGACTGACAAACAGAAAACAAACCAATGCAGGCTTTCTCCCTTTTTATCTGCACTTGTAATTCAGGCCCTCCAGATATCAGTAATGGAACAGAGCAACACTCTTCAGCCTCCATTTTTGAGCATGTGGACAGAATGTCACGCTCCTCAGAAGTCAGCAGAAGGGTCCCGAGCAAGATCCAGTTGATTGCCATGCAGCCCATAGCGGCACCTCCAGCACAAAAGCAACCACTTTCTGATCGAGTGGCAGAGACCAACAAAATTAATAAGGAGGTAATCCGTTTGGTAAAATGTTTCACAGCCATGATAAGTAGATTAAAATTGCACACTACTGACTCAAAGTGGTTTAAGAGATTTTTCCCTCTTCCACTCTCACAGAAATACAGTTCCCAAAATTCCCTAGAGAACAACAAAACAAATGTTTAGTGCTCTCCTTGGACCACAGTTTCCAGTATTCCCTTGGAGTCACTCCCAATGAAAAGGCACAGGAGAATTAGCTGCACTCAGAGATGTGTAGACCGAACAAACACGAAGTGTGGCTAGTTCTTACTGCTATGCAGTCAAAACGGAAATATTTGGCCTATGTCTCTACCTTGGTTTTAACTTGTTCACATGTGTGTGCAAGGACATGCATGCATGTCCATGCACACACACACATTACATGCACTTTATCGTGTAAGCTGGTAGTGTGCTCTAGGTCCCCTCTGAGTTCGTTGTGGCTCTGCTTTTATGGCAGCCTGCAGGATCTGGCATTTGCTGTTTGTCATGCATTTTTATCAGCACTCTGTGCTCTTTCTTAATTGCCCTTGCTGTGTTAATCATCATGCTGTGTGTAATCATTCTTCTCCCTGGAACGTCTGTGGGTGAATTACAAGCTGGAGAATGAGATATAACTGGGAAGTGTAAGTGGGAAGTATGTTCACTATTTCTCTTGTGATACTTCTCTACATGATGGATTTCTTTCACTGTGCATTCCAGAACATATTTAATGCTTCTCACTTTTCCCCTTGAAAGATCCAAACAGCTCTGAGGCATAAATCTGAAATCGAGCATCACCGCAACAAGATCCGACTTCGAGCCAAGCGCAAAGGACACTATGAGTTTCCAATTGTGGATGATATGGTGATAATTGATACCAAAGAGCAGCAAAGAATGTACCGCAAGGCACAGATGCAGATAGACAAGATTTTAGACCCTGGTGGCAATATGCCTACTGTTTTCATAGAGCCCAGGAAGAGGTAAGGATGCGAGAGAGGAGGCTGGGGGTGTATGCATGTGTGAGAGAGAGAGTTTGGAAAGGAATTAATTCTCTGATAATGTGAAATGTGTGAACTCCTGCGTTATTTATTCTGTGAAGCTCATACAAGATGCTAATTAATGCAGGAAGCCTTACTTGCAAAAGGGAAAAGGTACAGGCATAACATAAGACATGAGATACTGATCTAGAGGTGTAAAAGCATTTAGCATGCTTGTTTCTGTTTTGCTTTTTAATACATCTCAAACATCTAAGCAGCATATTTAGTTAATCTGAGAGGGGCTTCCTTCATGCAAGCCTCCCATAGCATTAAGATTCCCGAATTGGAGACCACCTTTTGGTGCCCTTCTTTCTAGTTGACAGTGACCACCAGCAGAGCCTTTTTGGTAGTCTGTGGATGATCATGGAGCACCATCTCCTGTGATGGTCACGTGGATGGCTTGCAGCTGTCCTTGTCTTTTGAAAACAGGTCAAGGCTGTTGTGTTTCACTGGGTCTTCAGATAAATTTTCCTCCATTAAGGTTTCTTTCCCCGCTAACAAACAAACATACTCTGGCCCCTTTCTTCTGTTAGACTATTGTTACTTTATTAGCATGACCTATTTGTAATACCATTGGGTAGAACAGCAGGATAAAAATAAAACTGGAAACAAAGGATGAAGCATTTTCCTGATTCCCTTAGGTCTAGGCTGCTGGTCAATTCAGTCAGAAAATACAGTATTCCATTAAGGACGCTGTTCATCTTCAGTAGGAATGGCCATGTGCAATGTGCCTACTATTTATTTTTTATTTATTGGTAACTCCGCAGCAAAAGGTCTCAGAGAGGCTTGCTAAAATAAAAACAATAAAACACAGCATGAAAAACAGTAAACAGTGGAGTGGGCGTAATATAGAGCACCTAGACCAATAAAAGAACTGAAAGGCCTGGGCAAATAAAAAAAGATTTTTTTTCTTTTCTACAGTTCACATTCTACAAACTCAAGCATTCAGAAATATACAACATTGGAAAAACTCAGAAAGACCCACAGTCCCAGATCTGTTAGTGCTTGTAAATTTTAACAAGACCAGTTTGGTATTTTATTTATTTTTATTATAGTTCCCGAGCCAAACGTTCTCCAAAGCAGCGTCGGAGGCATCAGATGAATGGAAGTCCAATGGATGCTGACAAAGACAGACTAATCACAACTGACAGTGACGGGACATACAAGAGGCCTCCAGGAGTCAATAACTCTGCCTATATTGTAAGTTTTAACCATTTGGAAAGTGATGTGCTTATAAGGCGGAGATGGGCATTTGGTTTCCTTCGACTCTAGTTCAAATGTATTGCAGGAACACATGATAAAGTAGGAATACGGATCATCTCATCTTCCAGAGGTTGCTAGAGTGTGTATCTCATGATAGTTTACTATTGGTTTTGCTCAGTAGGGCTGATGGGAGTTACTGGCCAGAAACAGCTGGAGGGTCACATGGCCCCGTAGCTGATGCAGCTGCTTGGGATTCACAATCATACTGAGTAGTCCTGCTCCATCTTTCATTACTTATGAAATATATTTCCTGCTTTTATGATAATGAGCCCAATATAGAGCACACTATATTAGTTGGGGTGCAACTAATAAAACCAAATAACAGCAAACGAAAGAATCAAATGGGTGAACAGTAACATGGATAATGCTGTGTTTATAAATAATGGCTTGTGCAGTGGAACAAAATTCAGTCAAAAGGCTGGATGAACAAATAGCTCTTTGTTGATCCAAAAGATTGTAAGATTTGGCACCAGCAGTATATTCTAGGGGAGGGAGTTCCACATTCAGGGAGCCTATATCAGGTATGCCCTCTCTTGTCCAGGTGGGTATCAAACTCTAGGAAGATATGGTACCATCAAGTTGACATCTGCACTAGGCCTTAGTATCCAAGCAGGTACAAAAGCCAGCTGCCATAATTCCACCAGGTATGCAGATGCTAACCTGTGCATTGCTTTGTAGGTCAGCATAAGCATCTTGAACCCGTAGCTTTTTGGTGACCAGTACAAGGCTGTCCTGCCCATCTAGACAGACAGCAGGTATAATGAGGAACAAAAGAAAATACTTGATTCACGTAAGACCTATGCCAACTCAAAACAGTGCTTCTGCAGTCTGATACCCTGAGGTGGGGCCAGCATGTGTTCCCAGCCACACACAGACTGCGAGTCAAAGTTAGAATGCCTGGATAGGTGTGCTCATTGTTGTTTTGAGTTGTTATTAAGAGGTGCTCTCTGTATGATTTCAATGCCCACAGCAAGGAGTACATTCAGTTCCCTCGATATCTCCTCTACAAAGCACATACTCTTCTCTTTTTAGCCTCATCTCCTGTGTAGAAAAAATGCAGATAGCAGATGAATATTATGGCTCTTTTGAACTTGGGTATAATGTGCAAAATGCAGATAGAATGCTAGTGAAGAGCTTATAGCTAGTCTACAGTGCCTTGTCATAATACTTTCGAGAATATGCAGCAAATCACTATCTATCCACTCTGGAGTGAGGGATGCCATGAATGACCCACATGCATATCCATAATGTGTGTAATCTATCAAACAGAAGTGACGACCTCATAACAAGTAAAGCCACATTGAAAATAGTGGGAGCTTTTGATGTAAGAGCCACTTGGGAAATGCTTTCATCCTCATACCACCATCTTCCTTCCTTTCTTTCATTTATAGTCTGATCCTGATCTTCCTGCAGAACCTCAGACACCTTCTTCAACTGAACTGGGGAAGTACTCAGGCCTTCCCACACACGCTGCTCCATACATCCCTCCACAGCCGTCCATTGAAGAGGCTCGGCAGACGATGCATTCGCTCCTGGATGATGCCTTTGCCCTGGTGGCCCCCAGCAGCCAAGCATCCAGTTCTGCTGCAGTCACGCACCCCGGAGGTTTGGGGGGACAACCAACAAACACTCCTGTTCGAGCAGTGAGGGATACCCCCAGCAGCCAGTGGGGGTCTCCATATGGCCCAGCGCATACAGTAAGCAGCCCAGTTAGTGACCATTTAAAAAATTCCATTTAAAAAATTAAAAAAACAGTTTTAAAACTTGTGAAAGCCAATAGTTACTTCTTGTGTGATGCTCTGTTGTTTAATCTGTTTATTTTGATTTGTAGCCCACTGTATTCCAGAGATTCAGTGTGGGTTTAGAATGGCTGAGGGCAGGGGAGGCATGCTGCATCAGCATCCGTTCCCACAGCAGCCAAGTACATCCCTGTGACAAGCAGGACATGAATGCAAAAACACCCCCCTGTTCATGCTTCACTTGCAGAAATTACATTGCCCAGCAGAACCTTCCGTTCCAGATTATACTCCAGAGGAGAATCCAGCTAAAGCTGCATTAATGCAAGCAGTCGATCAAATGGTTGTGTGTAACTCTTGCACAAATGGGTGTATATAACACTTGGGCAACTTCTCATGCTACTGGTTGCACATTGTGCTTGTGCAACTGGTTGCAGAGCACATTGGGCAGTGGAAAGTTTGGGCAGAGCTCCCCTAATGCAATTTGAGTTTACAGAATGACATTTTTGGATACTGCCTCAAGGTTAGTAGCCATGCATAGCCTTAGTCTCCATGAATGTGTCTGACCTCCTTTTAGAACTCTCCAAGTTAGTGACCATCAGTGCATCTTATAGTAATAAATTCTAGCCTTCATCTGTGCGTTTTGGAAAGAAGTACTTATTTTTATCTGTCCTGTATCTCCCACCATTCAGCTTCATTAAATGATGCGCGGTATTCTGGTATTTTGAAAATTTATCCTCTTTTTCCATAATTTTGTACACTTCTATCACGGTTCACGTATCCCTTACTTTTGTATGAAGTGAAAGTCTCAAACACTAACCTTTCCTCAGTGGTACTTGTTCCTGCCCAGTGATTATTTTGCCCACCCTCCCTTTGCCTTTTCTTGTTCTACAATATTCTTTTTGAGAAGCAGTGACTAGAACTGTACAAAATATTACAAGTGTGTTTACATCATGGGTTCGTATAAAGCCATGATGATATTAGCACTTTTCTTTATGATTAATTTCCTAGTGTTATTTCCTAACATGGAATTTGCCTTTTTTTCCCATTCCCCCATTTTTCTCAGATCATTGCTCTATGTGGAAAAATAACCCTGATCTAGATAAGGGGAAGTTAAAGCTTGTTCACCTAATGCTAATCCATAATTTGCTCTGGATATTAAGGGTGCCAACCAATGTGGCTGTCCCTGGGCATCTTACCTCAGAAGGTTGCAGGCATGTAGTAGATTTGGAGGAGCATAAAAGTTAGGGTTGCCATTGCACCCCTGTTGCCCTTCCAAACATTTTTGGATGTTTAGTTTTTTCAGTGAGGAGGAGAGGCCAAGAGCCTGCCAGGGTTTCTCAGAGGAAAGTGGTTCCTTGTTTTTCCTTTCCCAGCCCACCTCTCTGCCCCCTGTGCTGGTTCTTCTAACTTGTGAGACCAGTTGACACAGAAAGAGCCACACAGGCTACAAGGGAAGAGGGAGTGCTCTCCATCGGTGAAGTCCTCTCTCCAATCTTGGAGCGCTTTTCTGTGGTTACAGCTGGGACTTTGACCTATTGTGTGGGCCTCCAAACATGAAATTTAGGAAACAAGTTAAAAATCTCCTCCTCCTTGATCTGATTCAAATTCAGTTTACTTATGTCACTTGTTTTAAATTTTATTTTCTACTGTAATTCAAGAACTAAACATGTTTATTCCATTAGACCCTTAGATTTTTAAAGATTTTTAAATTTCTGTTTAAAATATGTTCTGATCCATGGTCTTTTTTTCAGAGATACATGGAATTTGGGATGACTCCTCCAACAGCACCAGGGCTGCTGCAGAGGTAGTTCTCTGATTGTTTAGTTTGGGTCTTTGTGTGATCATTAGAATGAATGGCATTTGTTTAGTTATGAGCATGAGCACAGCAGAAGGACAAAGGCTAAATTGAAGATTGCACAAAACTGATCATTAGTTTGAAATTTTGATTAGCCCTAGAAACGATGGTTAGTATAATAGTGGCCATAACTGGGAATGTTATAAAAACACTTCATTTGGGAGAATATATTTTCCAAGTATGTTTGAATGAGGGTTATTTGATCATGAACAAATAACTTTCTTATCCTACCAGTGAATGGGAAGCACTGTGTTCCCCATAATTACCCTTGCTCAAGAATGCATGTTTGCTTTCGCCATTGGTAAAAGAGTGAATACTGGCTGCAGGCTTCATTTGCAACCTGCAAACTTTCTAAATGTCCAAATTCATACTGTTAAAAGCTTCCTTGCCTGTGTGGATGCTCACTCCTCAGCCACAACTATGGCACTTAAGCAAGATGCTCACTATTTTTCCTCTGGTCTTAAAGGATTGCAGAATGTTTGCATCTAGGAAAGTGAGCTGTAGGCAGGAACCTTGTTATGGAGGCTAGGGCCCTAAGTATAAAGGACTTCTACCTAGATCTTTAAGCACAATGTATGTTGCCCATGAGGAAGCCATGGAGCTATTCTGAGGTTGTGCAGTGCTCTGGAAGCTGCATGTGTAGCGTGTCACAATCCACAGTGTATGTGTGCAGAGAGCTGCACACGGAAAATTGCATGTGTGGAGTATGCGATGCATTTTCTCAGGAGACAAATCAAACATGGCGGTGTTGTGTTGCATTGTTGCTCTGCCAGCAGGCAAAACCTGGGGCCAGGTTTTCTTCCACCTGTTGAATTAATACACCCAGACCAGCAGACATCTGATGTTCAGTTTTCCACTAGAGGCATCTACCCCGAGGAAATCCCATCAGTGGCACGGCCGCGACCAGTTGGAAGCACTGCAGGTACTTAAAGACTCTTAACTATTCTGCACTGCAGTTACTCCCCCTCATAGACTTTATACCCTTAGACCCTACAGACTGTGGCCACAGTCTACAGCTTAGCACCTATTCCTACACAGCTGTGGCAGCTAAGACAGTTCATAAATTCAGAAGACAAGCCCTTTGACTCTGAGTACAAGTATGCATGCAGGGGCCTGGGGGAACGGAGGACTTATCTATGGTTTGCTCACTAATAGTATTGGCCAGCCACCAATTAATGTATGTTCTTGGATGAGCACTGGTGGGACAGGGTGGAGGAATGGAGGCTGATGGGGAACTTCACACCTATATGACTGGGGATGGTACATGCCTTTTGACCCCTCCCCAGGTCAGCTGTACAATTGCCTATACATGCAGTTATGTATAGACAATTGCTATACATAGTTGCTCTGTTATAATAATCTTGAGGCAAAAGCAATGCATGTTGTAAGGGCTATTATCCTTTATTCTTCAGCCGAGCATTAGGATAGGGATAATATTGCAACCATGCTCCCAAAAGGTTTCCTACTATTTCACAAGCAGCAGCTTATTTATGGACGTTTGTCACAGACAAATTGAAATACTACAGTATTTATAACAGTTGCAGCAGGTAAAGACTGGGGTTAAAGTCTTTAACCTGGGGCACAGGGTAGTTCATTAATTAATTCTCACTGTAAGGAGGCAAGACTTATTTTCCAGTTGAAAAGTTTCCCATAATGCTCCTGTAGATAATTTTTGGCATACAGTCATAAATAGCATGTTTGAAGAGATGACAGTGCTGGTCAGCAACCAACAATGGTTTGGTTGCTATTAATAAAGGAGCTTCCACGGTCATCTGCTAGAATCCAGCACATGCTAAAGGGGTTAGATTTAGCTTCCCAGCTGGTGGGCAGCTTTTCACATGAAATGTTATACAGAGATATTCATGCCTACATACAAGAGTCATGCACAGCATCACATTTACGAAAAGTATAAGATTGGCAAATCCCTGCTTTTCCTTTTAAAACACACAAGAGCAAAGCCCAGCTTTTTCCTAGTTGTAACTTCTGTGTGGTTTAATAGGGAAGGTAGTGATTTACATGTTCCAGAATGGATGGCAGGATGAGTGCATTTTATGAATATAAAACTGCTCTGATGGTAAGGCCCTTGCCCTCAGGATCAGAAGAGAGTCCACAAATGCTGCCAGGAGAGCTGCAGCCATTTGCTGTACTCATCTGAGAAACTCACCCGAAAGTTGTTGTCCCAAAGTTGTGTTCCTGCTACGACTGTACACCTGAGCGTCCTGAGCTAAGCAAATATTTTCTCCTTCCCACTGAGGGCAGATCACCAGCATGTGAAGGAAATTACTTTAAATGGTACATTCATGATGGCTAAAGTATTGGTAGACTCCATGGGATGGAAGTGTCCCCTGCTCTTTCCCTTTTCTCTTCCCCACTTGTCTGGTGCACTGTGCCTGTGTGCAACACAACCCTGCGTTCGAACTGCACAGACAGCACCCTTTCCGTGTAAAATGACATGTTTCAGCGATTGCATGCAAAGGGGTCCTTTTGTTGTCCCTAATCTGTTAGCCTTTTTAAATGCAGCCTTACCTAACTAAACAAAACCAAGAATCCCCTTTTCTGCACACCACAACCTCATATACTTTTGTGTTTTATTCTCCATGTCCCTCTCCTGCCCCTCCCCCAGTTTTATTTGCCCTCCACATTTCTGTTGCTGCATGGAAAGATGAAAGAAAAAACAAACAATATTTGCTTTTAAGGTTCTCAGATACAGCACCTCACTCAGGTGGGAATTGCTAGCAGGATCGGAGGTCAACAAGTGGAGATTCCCTCAGGCAGAGCAGGGCATGGCCAGCCGGGGGAACCAGGGTGGCCCCCGTACCGTGGAGAGGATGAATATGCTAGGAGAGATGCAGTGAGTACTGTGCTTCTTCTTTGAATAGTTTCTGAAGCAGCCTTGTGTTCACGTAACTTTTTCTTCATCCTGTACCGTTTTGGGAGTTTCCTCCCAAAGCATTCTTTTTACCTGCTCCTCTGATTTTCAGCTGCTGCTTTTGTCTCTTCCACATTCCAGTCCCTGAATCTCTGCTGCTCTGTCCTTTCCTTTCTCCCTGTTGGCTCTAATCCTGGACTCCAAAGCCTGTCAGCCTCAGCCAGCATGACAAGTGGTCTGGGATAATCGAAGTTGTAGCAGATCAGCCACAAGTTCCCCACCTTTGCTTCATGCTCTCGGTGGGGCCTGTTCTTCCACACTTCCGCACCATGGGAAGAAAGTTCTGACCCCCACCCTAAAAATGGTCCAGGCTGTCTGGTAGATGTTGGTGGAGCACCATCGGTGCCTACCACTGGAAAAAATGGTATTTGAGTATGAAGATGCCTTGAGTATTAAAAAAATTATTATTTATTATAATTAATAATTATAAATAAATATTATTTATAAATAATTATTTATAAATAATTATTTTTATTATTTGGGCAAGAAGCAGTTTCTGGAATAGGGCCTTAGCCATGCACTGTTGAATTGTGGCAAGTTCCCGCACCTCCTGAAAAAGCAACCAAGTTCCATTCTTTTCTTGATTGAGTAATTATATTGTTATATGGGATGGATTATAACCAGTTAAAAAGAAGATGCCGTTTGAAAACAGCTGAAAAAATAAAATGCAAAACATTTATGTAAATGTTATAATAATAATAATCAACAAACAGCACAGTAATTGATAAAACAGCCTTAATAGCCTAGCACTAAGTCTCTAAAACTGCTTGGGAGAAAAGGATGGTCTTTGCCTGGTGCTGGAAGGATAGCCATGTGCGTGCCAGGCAAACGCCTTTGAGGAGTTTGCGTATATCGCAAGTGGGGTGCCACCACTGAGAAGACCCTCTGCTTAGCTAGCTTCCTTTGGCAGGAGCACCCAGAGGCATCTGTGGGATAGGCATGCCTTTAGATACTATGCTTCCAAGGCGTTCAGGGCTTTAAAGGTCGACAGCAGCACTGGGAATGGAGCACACTTGCGCATGCTCATTCGTGCTCTCAGAATCCCCGTTCTTGACCATGCTCTGTATTTTGAGCATGCTGAAAATGGTATGATGGAGGCACTGTTGCCTGATCTGCGGATACTCATTTCTTTTGTTCGAAAGCTTTCTCTGATCAATCAGATGCTACATTTTGAAGTGCTACCAAAATCTTCTTGATTCAGTTAGAATAGTGGAATTAATCTGCAAACCACAAGCTTTGGAGCTTGTATTGTACCATCGTCAACTGTTTGAGACAAAACAGGTGATCGTTTCTTTATATCCAAAGACTTTTTCAGAATGAACCATAGTGCATTATTGATTTTCGAACCCTCATCGTCTTGTGTCTCAGTTCCTTCCTTTATTGCAGGAAGGTAATACAGCATGGTGTGTTACCATCAGCAATAAAGGCCTCCCCTCCCCACCCACCTCCATCTGAGCCCAAATGTCCATAAATTGATTTACTGGAGAAAAAGTAAAAAAGGAGGCTCAATAAAAGAATCAGCCCTGACTTAAGAGGAGGAACAGTTGCAATTCTCAGGTATTGATGTAAGCAGGAATAGGCTATTTGTCCCTCCATTCTGGGGCCGCAGGGCAACTACATCATGGACATATCCACTGTGGACTGGGAGCTTGCCACGTCAAGGCAGCCTAATAAATGAGAAGGGAAAGGACCTGAAGGCCCCCTCAGCTATATCAGTTTTTTAAACCTAGTCAGTTTTGTAATAAACCTGCAACTGCAACACTTGTTTGGTTAGGATTCTGTCCCCCTGCCAAGACTCTTATGAGAGACCTCTGGTTTCATTGGGTGTGGCAGCAGCCCTGGGCCCTTGGAGGCTGGAGAGCAGAACAGGCCTCAGGAAGTGTTGCACGCAGTCATGTGCTATGTAGTTTTCCTCTACCCATGTAAACGCAGATGACGTGCAGGTGGGCAGCGGGCAGGCCGAAGACTGGTGTGCTGGCCGTGCAGAAGGAGAACCTGGTGGCTTCCATCAGCAACGAGTTGCACAGAGGGAGGGTGCTCAGTGGGTGCGAGATCAACCAGTGGGATTGAATTGGGCTTCTGGTGTCACCAGGCTGCCTGGAACAGAATGATTCTGATTGCTGGTGTGACTGTTCCCTCTGGAACTGCCTGCAGTTTCTTTGAGCCAGTGCCTGATCTGCAGGGCTTCTGGTCTTGAACCCACATTCTCTGGCAGCAGAATTGCCAGGTCTGGATCATCTGTGTATTAGCACTGTGCTTTGAAGACTCTCTCTCTCCCACCTGCTGGTTCTTGCTGAAATAAACCCTTTGGTGCTTCTTTTTCTTTTCCGAGCAGTAAGCTGTATCTATCCCTCTTCTGCATGGCCTTACCATTCTTAATATTGTTGGCTTACTGTTGCTTTGCAGGCCTCCATTGCTTGGTTTGTCCTTTGGCTTATTTTACTGGTACTGTTCAAGTTTTGCTACTTTTTGTCAGACTGCCGCAGGGGCAAGGAACCAGATGCTGTAGGGCTCCAGCTTTCACCGGCCTCAGAATGGCCAGTGATTAGGAATGATGGGGGCTGTAGTCCAACAGCATCTGGGCAAGTGCAGATTCCTTACCCCTGATCTACAGGCTGTGTGCGTGTTTGTATGTGATGGGAGTTCTCCTTTAAATGCCATTGGAATGCTGTTTTGTTGGTACTTATGCTGAAACAGCTGGCTGGATATGCAAAGAGTGATTTAGATGATCAATATATGCATCATCGTTTGAATGCATTTCACAGTGCTACTTATTACAATTTGGTGGTTATCTTTTATGCACTTCATCTTCATTTACCTCACCTTCATGCATATTGAAGCAAATGATCTCCCTCTGGCTTTCTATCCTACCTCCCCTTTTTGAGTCAGTTGCTCTTTTATCAAGCCATATGCATAGCCTTAAATTTTAGCATTTCTGTAGTCAGATGTACTGGAAAGTACATGCAGTCTGACCATGCATGTACCTTGATGTAGTTGTCTTTTTTGGTTTCAAAGCATAAAACCAGTACATATCTTCGGTTCCTGAGGAAAGTAGGTTTGTTTCCAGCACTGCCTTTAAGCTCCATGTCAAAAACCAAACAGTGTCCTGTGGCATCTTCAAGACTAATAAAGCTTTTGTGGACTGAAATCCCCTTCATCAGATGCATGAAGTGTTTTCCTAAGGTGGCAGATGTGATACATGTATGTTTATATGTATAGAAATGTAGAGAGGAAAGCAAGGCATGTGAAAAAACACATACAGATAGTGACAATAGTGATAAAGCTTAAGATGTGTTTAAAGTATGTACAATGGACTGCTACTTACATTTTTCTTCCAACTGAAGATAATTTCTTGCATCTGATGTAACTGATTCTAGTTAGCTACATCAAATTTATACAGTGATATTTTAGCTTTCAAGGTGCCACAAGATGCTTGGAGCTTTTTTGCTGCCACAGGCTAATATGGCTACCCCTCTGGAATTATTGCAGGTATTCAACCTTCCCGTTTTACATTTCAGATCCAAGAAAAACTTGCAGCTCGCGTCTCTGCCTTTTTTGTTTGCTTTTTTTCCTTTTCTAATGTATGCTTCTCAAGCAGAAACTGCAGTAATACTCTGTGCCTTTCCCCAGACACATATGCCTGGACATCAAGAATATTCCTCCTCACCAGTATTCCAGATGCCGAGGACTTCGGCCCGACAGCCCTCAGCGCCACCTGCTCAGCCTCCTCACAGCAACCACCAGGGCCCGGGGCTCTGCTACAACATCAGCTCCACTGAGGACCTCCAGCCAGGTCACTCTTCCGCCTCTCTCATCAAAGCAATCAGAGAGGAGCTTCTCCGGCTCTCTCAGAAACAGACCATTGTGCAGAACCTCCACAGCTGATTTGTTGTCTCCTTGCAAATCTGCCAAGTATCTGCTTCCCATGGAAGCTGGACTCGCAGGAAACCAGCAAGAGCCTGTTGTTCTTCTGTCAGAGGAGTGAGCGTGTACAATACCAGAGATTATTACCCAAGCAGAAAAGAACTCCTCAGCTGCAGCAGCACAAGAGTGGGACTTGTGTGTGGAGGGGTGGGAGCGCCAGGAAGGCATAGCAAGCATTGACATGCAGCCCTCTTCTCACTTCCTGCTTTTATGTATTATAACTGCTTTGGTTGGGATTGTTCCATGCAGTGATAGCACTGGTCCAGAACCCAAGCGTTATAAGGAAAGCCACCAGACGGCAAAGCATTTTAACCCAAGACTTTGGTTTTCCGTGAAGAAGGAAAGCCAAGTTTGCAAGATGGGATGAGTTGTTTCATGAGAGGCTGCAAGAATCCCAGCTTCAGATTTTGCTGGGAAGATGAAATGTGTGCTGCTCATGTGTTTTTCTTCAAATGTACATGATGCAGTGTCAAATCCATACAAGCAATTGCTTTCTTGAAACCATGGTAAGACTCCTCAAATAACAGACTTTGAGCAACGTGCTGAAACAGAACAAGAATTGTTGTTGTTAAATATTGCTCTGTGCTTCCAAATGGAGCCATTCTCTGCACTCTTCCTTGTTGTTCTTCTGGTGCTGAAGCTTCCAAGTGTCCCTTCATCCTGATGTTTGCAAAGTTAAGGATGGCCTTTTTTTAAAAAAAAAAGCAAATGAACAAAAATGCAAGGATATAATCATTTATATTCATTCAGGCTGGGAAAATTAAATCATCCTCTTTTTAAAAAAGAAAGACTTACTAGGCATTAATAATTTATTAGTGAATGCACAGTGGGTAAAGATGTTCAGGGTAGTTTCACAAGTGATGCAGAAGACACTGTCTATACACAGGGTGAGGTGCTTGCAGCCCTTTCCCATACCTGTGGCAACATGGCCACTGTCAACCTGAAATGATAATGTCGACTCCCAACAGCTGCATAGAACTGACTGGCAAAGAGAGTTCATTATCTGATTTGAGTACTCAAAATACTTGACCACGTATGGTTAGCCAGCCAGAATTCATTTCCATAAGCAGCCTCCAAGCAGTGGGGAGAAATGGAGTTGCAGTGGTCTAAATAAGCAAGCATTGGCTGGCTCAAGGGTTTTGTGGGTCCCTGATCAGAAAAGCATCACTGGGTCCTGACACTTTGCTTCTCTTTGCTTGGCTCCTCCCTTTCTTAGAGTGGCCACCTCTAACCTGGGGAGTACATGGTCACACGAGTGCCACCCCCTGTCACTCTTCTTTGCCATCTCAAGTGTGAAGGATGCCTTTCTGGGCCTAGTGGCCCCATACTCTGAAGTAGAAGATGATGTGGATTTTCCAACTTCTAATTCCTGTTGTTACCACTGACAAAAAATTAGGACAAAATCCACGATCTTTTGGTTAAGGAGAGGTCCCAGGAGCTGAGCCTTGGTAGATGCCTCCATTTTCAGCAAGATGACCAAAATAACCCTCAAAGACTGAACGTGAATGCAAATTCACTTTCCAAGTGGATCCTCAGTTAAATGGCAGTGTGAATGCCCTGTATGTCATATGCCAGGTTAGACATGAGCCAAGACATTCCATGTTGGGAAAGAAGTGAAAAGGCCTTTGCACACATTCCATGACAGCAAAACTGAGAGTGCAGCAAAGGGAACATTTCACAGTAGCTGAAATTTGCAGTTCTCTAGTAAGTGTATCTGTAGGGTATATGTTTCAAAACATGGTTGTTTTGATTCTTCCATGCATGTCCATAAAAAGATATACTTTTGAACACACGGTGTTTCTAAGTATACCCGAAAGAACATCTTAGATGTATATCTAAATACGTAATGAGAAGAGTGATCCCGAGAGGCACCCTTAACATCACTTGTGAAAATTCCCTTGATGTGGTGAATTAAGCTTTTTGTTAATTTGCTGAAGGCCATGAATGCAGATGTGCTACCTGTGGTTGTTTTTGTTTTCCTCAAGAATAAAACAGGCAAGTCTGTGGTTTGAAGTGAGATGAACAGAGAAGGCAGACTGGATAACGTCACACCACCAGCACTAGTTTATCCTAAACCACACCCTGGGTTTGGTTCTTGATAAAACCTACATGAAAAAGGTAAATCTGTGATTAAAATACAATTTTAGAATAACAAAAGCTTATATTTCACCATTAGAGGCAATCTCTGCATTTGTACGTGTTCCTACTGATACGATGGTACATGCCATCCAGGCACTAGTTTTTACAGAATTTTAATTTTACTGTTAGTTGTGAGGTGTAATTTACTGTCATATGGCCATTGCTTAATTGTAACCTGCGTAATACGAGTGAAGATTCTAACTAAATTATTTTATTTGTTGGAGTGTATTTTTGGTTTTGGTTTTAACTTAGATTAAATTAAAGCTAAAGCAGTGGCATAAAACACGGTTGAAAGAAATTCTTATTTGGAAACATAAAGGCGATTGAAAGCACTTTCTCATGTGGTGTCAGTGTCAGTACATTTTCTTTCTTAGGTATTAATGAACGATTTGCTGGTCTACCAAGAAGCTAATTCATGAGTGTGTTGAAACCTGCTTCGTCAGTAGTTGAATCTGCATTGTTACACTGCATCTCTGACCCCATCCAGTAATGCTACTTTCTTCAAACTGGTAACCTCCAGGGTGTTGAATTGCAGGGTGTTGAATTGCAGCTTCCATAATTTGCAGCTTGGAAGCTGTAATTTGAATTGCAGCTTCCAAGAAATAATTCCTTGAACTGTGGGAGTTGCAGATCACCACACCTAGAGGGCGCCAGGTTGAAGAAAGCCACAACAGTGTTGTTACAAGCAGTGCTCTGCTGATTCAGCCCACCTGGAGGAGCTCGTTGATGTGCCCATGTCTTTTACATGCGGCTCAGTTTTTTTTCCATTGAAGCCATGGTTTATTTATATAAAACAACAGTGGACGGGTGCTTTGGCCATTTACTCCACTCTGCCCTTGCCATCCATTGATAGTTTGGTGGTCTGTATTATTTGAAACCCATATTGTCAATGTGCCCTCACTTCTATTAATAAATATGGCAGGGTTGCACCAGCTCAGTTGCAGCTCAGTCACTTTGATGGCCCATTGCGGAACACTTTTTCAGTTTTCCCTTTAAAAGTGCTATGACCAAAACAGTGCACAGTATTCCATGCATGGTAGAACTATAGATTATATATGGTTGCACCATATCATTATGGTATTTGAATCTGTATTCATTCATTTAGAGGGCAGTCCACAAGGCTGTTCATAACCCTCTGAACTCGGAGAGTTACAGGCATCCTATGCATGAGATGTGGAAGGCAGAGGTTCAAGACACTTAGACTTAGTTGATTTTGGCTAAGTGTTTGGGCTCAGAGTGTCAGGAAGGAATCAGGGTGGGGCTGGGATATTTTAAGTGCTGGCAGAACACTTACCTCATCAAAAGAGCAGGCTGTGAGGGTGCTCTGTCCTCAGGATCCCCTGGCTAACCTTGGAGCAAGTTTTTGGGGTCCGAGCTGGGGCTGCAAAAAATTGCATGGTCATAAGATTGTGTTGGCCATATATTTTGTCATGCAGTCCTAGGCATATTTAGACAGGAAGGGTCATACAATTTGTAATATTGCCAGACAACCTGTAGGAAGTTTTTCTGTCTAAACATATTTAGATTTGTGCCTTGATTTAGACTAGAATCAGAGTGCACTCCCAGCTGTTTGCTTCCTGAAATCTCAACTGTCCACTTCATGGGGGGGGGGGGGGCGGTGGAGGAAGAGGAAGAAGCCACCCACGATGAAGTCCTCCGCTGACTGTACTAAGCTGAATGGCTGAGCTGTGAACTACCTTTACAAACAACTCATACACTGAGCAAAACATACTTTACCACTTGCACATTGCATAGGGTAATATTGATCAATCAAGAAACATCATAGGTAAAAATAAAAATGGGAAAAATATTCTGTATAAACAGACATTTCTGAACTTTGGGAAAAAGAACACTGACATTACTAAAGGTTTCCACCACTCCTATAAGGCCTGTATAACTTGACTTTATATATCGTGAAGGCTAACCTCCAAAGCATTGTTGTCTGCTTTCTGCCCCTGTGCATTCTCCTGAAATAGCCTCCCTCAACCTGGCACACTCAGGATGTCTTGAACTACACACTCCACCAGCACTAGTCAGGGAACAGAAAATTGAGTCCATACATCTGGAGTGCTCCCAGTTGAGGGAAACCGCCCTAAACTGTAATTGCACTTTACTTAGTTCACCAAAGAGAATAACCTGCTGAAATGTGAATCAAGGGGGTTGATGAAATAGGAGACTGCTGCGGTTGAGACTTCTTGAGTTAAAGATGGGTTTTTGTTTATAAATTGCTTTGTGTTGAATCGGTTGAGCACGATAGAAATTTTTGCAAATGGGGCAAGTTCCCATCACGTGAGAAGAAACAGAACTTGGCGTGCTACATTTCACTGTTTGAAATATCCATGGAAATAAATATATACATGAGATCCCCAACATGTGAATGGCTTGGCTTTCCATCCTAAGTTCAAAAAAAAAATCACACCTGAATGGAATATTTAGGGGCTAGTTGAGTTGCTCCTCTCAGGAATTTTGGGCCCAAATCTCTCCCCAGTATTATGGCAGGAGGAACAAAACAAAAACACTACTGCCCCAAGAGGTGAGAAAAAGATGGAGAAGATGCATTTTCATTTTCATTCACCATGAAGGAGGAGATGTTGGAGTTCTGCAAAAGACCACATGTACCTGCTGACTGATAACAGCTTTCCAGGGACTTGAGGAAGAAGCCCCCCCCCCCCGCCTCATACACAGTAACATTATATCTTAACTCTTTGCCCACATTTTTTCTTAACCAATGAGAGCTGGAAGGTCTGGGTTTCATGACATGGCAACCCACACTGGGCCTCCAGCCATACCATCTGGGTTGTCTGCCCAAGGACCCACAATGTGCTTGAGAGAGTTTGAGTTTGCACCTCAAGGAATAACTTCCCACTGGGCCAACTGGAGGTTGCATGGGCAAGAAGAGGGCGGCAAGTGCCATGGCAAACTGTGGGTTTCTTAATTGTGTAAACAGGTAAGCGTGTTTAT